GCTGAGCATTAGAAACTTCCTAACTAGAATAAGATAGTGAACCCTTATCACCTCAGTTTCAGGATGCAGACGGGATTGAAATATTATTAGGATAGTTTGTAGAGTCTTAAGTTGAATATTCTCCTCTGCCATTTCAGCATGCTGCAAACCAGGAAAAACACATTAGATGGTTCAGTAACAAGAACTAATGTAAAACATTTTGACCTTCATCGTACGAAACCGAAAAGTAAGTACACTTTCTTGTTTAATGATATTATTTATTTAGAGAGACTTTCAGCCTTCAGAAGGTTTCTATCAAGATAACATGACAATTGAAGTTTAAAAATGCGGAAATATAAGATAAGGAGGCAGAAACGAAAGATGAACGGGCCATCAGTTTCAGATAAAGCCACAACATGGTTCCGCACAAATTGCATCGCCAAATAAATAGAGAGCAGCCCTAGTTCATCTGGAAGAGGTACAAGACAAATATTCAGTAGAAACTTCCACTTACATCTTTTAAAGTAGAAAGGATCTCCTTCAGTGATGATGGTTCAACTGCATCATGAGATATAAGCTTCTGCAAGCATGAAAGTCCAATAACACTAAGCTTCACATTCCTCACTTCGCATGCCATTAGAAAGATCCGGAGAATGTCATCATTGCTTGAAAGCTCACTTGCACTTGACAATGAACGAAGCTGCGAAGTAACAGCAGCACATCTAATGTCAGATATTCACAGGCAATCCTTTGTGTTAACCATAAATTCTTCAACTTGCACTGCAAGGCATTTACAATTCAATTGGCTTGCTATATTATGCACAGATTTTGACTTGAAATACTACCTAACCAAGATGGTAGTCGAAATATACAAGTAGCAATGTTCATGTATTTCTCACACAACTCGAAAATTATTTGAAAGGAGAGAACTTAGTGACTGACCCTAAGGCAAGTTCAGCATACTTTTCTACACAACATGAGAAGTCCTTAGTAACTATACTACAATAAATAAAAAAATCATCTAACCAAATCCAGTTCTTTCTCGATAACTTACTCCAAATACTGGATTTGTGCCCTCCCTTGATTTCCATGGTTTCATATCAAGCTAGTGTTCCTCCTCAACCAAAAGTGATAATTTCGTTCTTGCCCCACCAATTAAAAATTTTGACATGACCGTGCAACACACGGATCAAATCCAGAGTTTCACTGTGTCGGTAAATTTACCACTCTTTACACATAGATCAAAACCAAGATTGATCCTTTTCTCCACCATTACTCTCAAGTCTCAACCAATTGTCAAGGACAAAACCAAAACGATACATTAAGCTTCACACGACCACTTGGTCCCTCGAACTGAATTTAACCATCGTTCTGATGAGGAACCCTGAAGCATACTAACTAACAAACACACCAATTTGAAAAGATGCCCACAAATCTCCGTGTTCACAGTCCATTCGACGCACGGACAATACATTACTCGGCAAAAAAAAAACTAACCTTGAGGATTGCGTGCTCCGCCCCATCCTTCACGGATGGATACCTCCGCCGTGCCTCCGCCGAGAGGGCGCGAAGATCTGCCTCCAACGCCGCCATTAAAGCCATTTCTTGAATCTTTAGGGAGAACAAGAGGAAGCCCGGTGCTAGGGTTTCGAGCTACTGCTAAATTCTCCGGAGAGAGAACTGAATCGGAGAGGATAGCATCGAGATCGTAGACAGTAGCTCCGATAGAGACGAACAGGGGACGACGACAGAGAGGATATGTAGATCGCAGGTGAGATCTTGATCTTCCAGAGCAAAGGGAGTCGGATGCGAGTTGTGTTCTAGGCACGTGTATGTCACGTGTTTAATTTTGTTCGATTTTCTGCACCGGTATTCAATATTTATCACGAAAATGGCCCGGATATAATGGAAAGTTACATAAACGTCCAAATACAAGAATTTCATCAATCATTATAAAATAAAAACTAAAGATACTTAAATTTCAGAACCGCTCTCCAAAAATGACAATCATAATTTCAATAATTCATACAAAAATAAAAACCCAATTATTATAACTTCATACTTTTTTATCAACATTTCAAACAACATAGGTCATATGGTAACAAATAAATAAAATACAAATATAGAATAGATTACAGTATCTCTCTAATTAATTGTGGAAACATTTGAGGAATATACAAGAGGAAGGTCAGAGGGCAAGAGGCTATAAACAAACACGTCATGAATTTGACCCTTGAGGGAAATGTACTTCCTGAGCAAACCCTCTCTTTGAAAACCAGTCTTTTCAAGAATTCTTTGGGAGGCTTTGTTCTCCACTTGTACAAAGGCTTGAAGCCTAAGCAGATGAGGCAAGTCCTTGAGGACTTCGGACACTGCCATTTCCACAGCTCTTGTTGCTATTCCTTTACCCCAATGTTCATATGACAATCCATATCCGAAATACGCTTTGAAACTGCGGAAAATCGGAATATTCGGATGTAAATTACAATGTGTGTATCCATGATCATGAATTTAGATTCGAGATTTGAGATCGAGAACTTATTTAAAACGCAAATCTAAATCTAAGATGCAGAAAACAAACAGAAAATATAGAATGTATGATCATTATACAACATTATTGATATTGTATTTAAAAAAAAGATATATAAATCGATATATAAACGTTTCTTATCTTAAAGAATCGACTCATAGATTTCCAAAAGAAAATTTAAATATTAATTTTTTTCATGAATCTAAATTTTGTTAAACAAATGAAGAGTAATTCTAATAATTTTTAATAAATATAAAGAATGATATTTTTTTCTAAAGAAAAAATCAAGGACAATTCAGTAATATAAAAAAGTAAATATAGGTAATCTTGTAAAATTTAAAATATAAAATATATTTTATAATTATATCTGAAGATATCTCAGACATTAAACTAGATAAATCTAGGTTAGATCCAAGGATATTCGAATCTGAATATTCAAAATTCGAAAATTTTAGAACGTTTGAAAGCGCCTACTTGTTCTCGGCGGATTCAGGAAAGACCGAGACGAAACCGATGGAACGGTCGCGGAGGCAGATGGATCGACGCCAGGGGTGAGGCAGACACACGTCCCTTACGAACGCAAAGGCCTCTTCCTCTGTCGTCAGTCTCGGCCACTGGAGGTACCTCGTCACTCGTTCGTCCCCCGCCCATTTCAATAACTCTTTTACGTCCCCCAGTTCGAACGGTCGGAGAGAGAGATTTTTCTCCATTGATTGTTATTGTTATGCGTTTGACTTTAGAGAAGAGAGAGTTCAAGTGGTTAATGCAAATATTTATGCCTTTTTAATTGGTTCGATAATATATAATATAATAGTACCGTGACGTATTGGACCGCATAGCTTGATCATTTGCCGTATTGTGATCATTAATTTATGACTTTCTTTCATAAAAATTGACTTTGAAAAAGAAAGACGTATAAATATTTAATCTTTAATTGTTTATTATTAGTGTGTAAAATCCGCTTTATTAAAAATAAATCATGATCGTGCCAGTCGCCAGATGGCATGGCACGAAAGGACGCGTTCCAAAACGCCATCGCCTGTTGCGTTTCAAACGGTATCTTCCAAAACGCTGCGTTTTGGCGCACCAGGATCACCATCATCAGCCCATCTTCTGCACCAAAAACCCTAGTGTACGGAACCTTATTCTGTCCAAACTCACCTTCGAAATCTGCGAGCTTGTGGAAAATGTCGTCGTCTTCTTCCAGAGTTCTGAAGAACATTCTCAGGCTAAAATCTGGCCCGGTTTCTTCCTCTTCTTCTGCTTGTTCGTTCGGCTTCTCCGCCACTCGGTTCGCCGGCGGGCGCAGCATAGCTTGATCATTTGCCGTATTGTGATCATTAATTTATGACTTTCTTTCATAAAAATTGACTTTGAAAAAGAAAGACGTATAAATATTTAATCTTTAATTGTTTATTATTAGTGTGTAAAATCCGCTTTATTAAAAATAAATCATGATCGTGCCAGTCGCCAGATGGCATGGCACGAAAGGACGCGTTCCAAAACGCCATCGCCTGTTGCGTTTCAAACGGTATCTTCCAAAACGCTGCGTTTTGGCGCACCAGGATCACCATCATCAGCCCATCTTCTGCACCAAAAACCCTAGTGTACGGAACCTTATTCTGTCCAAACTCACCTTCGAAATCTGCGAGCTTGTGGAAAATGTCGTCGTCTTCTTCCAGAGTTCTGAAGAACATTCTCAGGCTAAAATCTGGCCCGGTTTCTTCCTCTTCTTCTGCTTGTTCGTCGGGCTCCCCCGCCACTCGGTTCGCCGGCGGTCGAATCGCTCCGTCCCAGCACCGCTCTATCGCCACCACGACGCCTCTTCGTGGATGGATGGACTCGATTAAAGGTGTCTTCACCGGAAAAAAGGATACTCCTTTGGAAGAGTCCAATCTAACCGCCGAATCGTTCACTCTTCTTCGTAAGTCTCGGTTCATCAATTTCTCTAAAACAATGCCCTTTTATGGGAAATTCCTTCGTTTCAGTGCCAAAATGAGACAATTTTGCCGGAAAATGGAAACGTGGACATATATAAACATGTTGTGTGTGTACGCGCGCATATACAAAGTGGTGTACGTATAGATTGATGTGTTATCGGTGTATGTGTTTAACGTAGATTGTCAGACGCAATGGCAAGTGAAAACACCCAAACACGTATGTGTGTGTATACATGATTCACCAGAGAAATGGAACTTCTGATACTCTTCTCTTTTACTGAAACTAATGGTTTCAGGGTTCGCGGACGAGTTAAAGAACGCTAGAAGGTTGGGGAAATTCAAGCAGTACATAGTGGGTCGGAGCAGCGAGGCCACATTTGCAGATGCATTCGAGAAACAAGAAGCCATAATCCGTTACCTCGGAGGTCTTGATACTACAGGAGAGGTTGGTTTTTCACATACTGATGCCACTCTCAAGTCTTGTTTCTTGTATTTGTACATCAAGTTATTGGATCTTTGATAGTTTTACCGATTACAAATCCCTTGCTTGTTCCATAATATATAAGTAATATGTGTATGTGCGTCCTGTAAAGAAAAATAAGTATGTGATCTGGTTATGTGTATGGCTGGTGAATTTCTTGACTCAGGCGGTAGGTTTCTTGATCTGTAGAATCTCCAAACGGGTCAGAAGCAAGAAGCGGCTAAGCAGTGTAATTGTACGGTAGCAGATGTGGAGAATGCACTTTCCAAGTTCACCTGGGCCAGGCAAGCTAACAAGAAGATGACCGAGTTAAAAGAACAAGGGAAACCTTTACCAAAGAATATCGGCGAGGTATTATTCTGATATATGCTAACTTCAGGCTTAGAAACAATTGAGTAGAGCTTATGAGATTATGTCTGGACGGCATATAGCTCATTTGATCTGACATTTTCTGTTTCTGAAGACCTGGAGAATCTGCACTGGGTTGAGGTTTTGGCTGGATCGTGTCCTTCTTATGATTTGTTAGCTAGTTTGATCCATTATTGTCTTTCTGGTATCTTGTAGTTGCAAAAGGTGATGGGCTCAACACCGTTGGATGTGGCGAGATCTAATCTGGCCAAAAGCGGGCAGATAAGCCGCAATGCTCTTTGTCCCTGCGGTTCCAAGAAGAGATATAAAAGGTATATAACGCCATGGTCGTGTAAGCTGCATCTAAATGCAACATCTTGTTCTTGTTCCTCTTAACACCGTCTGATGAAGTGGAAGACTCGTACTGAATCATAGTAATGTATCGAAATTAATTTGGAATATGGATCAAAGGGTAGTCTTTTACTTGCATAGCTTGTCTTCCCTTATCACTCAGACGATTTATTTGCTTTCTTTTCTGAAGATGCTGCGGGAAGGATTGAAAGATTGAGGGTCGGCTGATGATTCAGAGCTCCATGGATAATCAGCAATGGCGGATTTTGATGCTCAAAGTCAAACACCGTCCATCTTCTCTAAGAATTTCGCTTCCTTTTGATGATTATGCCAGCCTTTGACCATTCAGACAGGAAGCTTCCAGCATCCTGGAGAGATGAATTTTGGTCGACATGATGAATAGAATAATCAAAATCATTGGTGGTTAAGGATATGAAAATATTTGTTCCTTTCTTCCTTAATTAAGTGAGAGTGGGATAAAATTTGGCTACTCATTTGTTTTATGTTCAATCCGAATTGTTTTTTTTTTTTGAAGGCACAAATCCTGAATTATGGGAAAAAACCAAACCTATCTGAAGATAACAAAACAAAGAGAAGCTCATCATTAAGAATATTGTTTTAACTAAACAGGTGCAAAAGAAAATATATGAACAAATTAAAACTGCCATTTCAAATCATGGGCTAATGTTAATACATGAATATCGATCATCATCATCATCACAGAAGGAGGTGATACAAACACTTTGCTACTTGCTGATGCTCGTTCCCCTGTGATTCTCTGTAAGAGAAAGAAACATTAATCTGAACATGTCGTGCAGGAGGAACAGTACACCGAAAGAGCAACCAACCATGGTGACCATACCGCTGAGTTCGTGAGAGAGCAAGGAATCAAACGGACTTGAAATCTCTGCAACAGCTTATGCTTTGATACGCCTAAACCCGAACCAAATCTCGTAGTGGTTAAACAACAAGCTGTCATGCGTTTGCTTCCCGATATACTCGAGCCCTAAACTAGCTAGTCTCTTTGTGCATTCATCGCCTCCTAACCTCGAACAGAATTTTATATTATGCGACACGAAGATTCTCCCGTCGTCGGGCTTCAACTTATCTACTAGCCTTTCGAGCCCGGACCAAACGAGTTTATCGGGCATGTGGAGGAAAACTGCACTAGCGTATATCAAATCGTATACGACATCTGAACCGAACTTGCTGAATTCCATATCATCACCTCTCACTATAAGAGGCCGTTTATGAAGGAGACCTTGAGAAGGAAGCTCATACCTCAAGGCAGCCATTAGAGAAAGCTCGTCCTTTTCGAGGCAATGGAAATGCCCGGGATCGAGATAGCGGATGAAATGCTGACCGACACGAAGGGTGCCACATCCGATTTCCAGGACACGGAAGTCGGGTTTGAGGTGGGCGGATTCAGCAAGGAACTCAAATACGTCACGCCCTCCAGCCCAGGGTTCTCCATAGTTGCTATGGTGTTCCTCGACGAGCAACTCACCCGGGCATGGAAGAGCTGTGTGGTTGTTTGCTTCTTCTCCTTCGTAGTGAGATATACCCTTGTAACTGATAAGTAAGAAAAATAAAAAAGAAGTAACTTTATCACCATTCAAACTAGAAACAGAACAATCCGTCAAAGGGAAGAACAAAAATGAACATATCGGAATGACATGTATGCAGAGAATGTAATTTCGCAGTTGCTTCAGATGCGGATGAGCAAGATATGAGCTGTTCAAAGATGGCGATGACCAGAAAGAACATTCTTAATTTCACGAATATGTCATCAGAGATTCGGCACCTAAAGGAAACCCACTCCATAGCACAACATAGACAGCTAAATCTCGAGTTAAACACTCTAAAGCTTTGCTTTTTTTTTTTTGTTTCTTTCTTTCCTGTAATTAGATTCCCCCCAATATTTTATTCCCAAATCTCAGATTATTCTACACTCCTCAAGATGAAAATAGCTATGAACACTACACCATGAACTCCTAGATCAGAATTCAACAAGTGAAATCATTTCCACTTTTGAATCATATAGCTAAAACTACTGAATCCATACCCATAAACTTGTTTTACGTTTCCAAACTACAATAAGTAAGATTAAAAGCTATCATCAAACAGAATTTCAAGCTCTTCTTTCAGATATTCAAATTCCCAATAGCTAAGCAACTCGATTCTGCCATGTTTGATACCAAACGCACGCAAGCAGCTTCACCCACAACGAGGGGGAGGGAGAGGGGGAGAGAGAGAGATGATTACTTCCTCAGATCTTCAAGTTGCTGGGCCCTGGTGCGAGGATTGATCCCTTTCCGCAGCACATTGTCCCGCATATGCAGACCGTTCGATCTGATCAGATCCTTAACCCACTCTATATCCTCTTCCGTCGTCGATATCCTCTCGTCCAATCTCGTAAAGCCGCTCCTCAAATCTCCGCCGCCGTTCGAGATAATGGCGCCGTTCTGGGAGGAGAGAGATGCGGGACACGAGCACGACGAGAGAGAAGACAAAAGGAAGAAGAAGATCGCCGCCGCAAACGAGACAGAGAGAACGAGAACCGGTACAGAGACAAAAATCCCCTTCTGCATACCCAGAGACGACGAAGAAGACGACAGAAGCGCCATAGATGGACAAAGTCTCGAGCTTCAGAGTTTGGCCTCTGTGATTTCACGCGTTTTGGATGGTACACATTCACACATGTCCTGTTACAGTGTATTTACTTTAACAAGTTTAATTAAAATCTAAATCCAAATCCAAGTTATATCCTTTTAAAATTTTTGTGCTCAGATTTAAATGAACTGGAAAATGGACTGAAATTGTTGGGGAAATTACACAATGACGTTTTTCATTTGACACCCCAATATTTTCCATCTTATCAATATTTTACCCCAACCATTCTAAAAGTCAGTATGCACCCCAATATAAGAGTAATGAGACTGTGATGAGTTTTCAGACAGGAGTTTTTCCTACCATCGTAATTACATGGGTATGTTTGTTTCAGAATACGTTTAATATATATACATATACATATACATACACATACATATGCATATACCATGTAAGATAAAAGAAATCCCTTTCATTGAATGATAAATCCAGTATGTTACAGAAGAAGATCTAGTCTAGTTACAGCCACAAACCCATGGTGAAAAGCAAATCAAGAACACAAAAGAAGAGCATCTGCATATTTAGACATTGCAAAACAGACGAAAACAAACCCAAGAGAAGCTCTCACATATGCAAAAAAAAATAATTGAGGGTCGTTCTTTTAAAACCAGAACTGCAAGAACCACAAGAAAAATGATCCTTGACCCCTCAAAAACTCACTATAACAAGACAAGAAAGAAAGCCCGGGAGAAAAAAAAATGATCAGATCAGATCAGATCAGATTCGACATTCTTCTTCTGTGACGACAAAGGATGACTCTGACATTTGGATCTGATGAAGTTACCATCTTGCTTCTTGGCAAAGAGGTTTCTTTAACATTAGCTTTCGGGGTTTCTGGTGTTTGAATGTTGGCTACAGCAGCTTTAAGCGGTTTTGTCTCTGATCTTTTGAGGATAGCTCTTGAACGAGAGTCATAGAGGTTAAGGGAGTGAGAGGTCGAGAACTGTACCGAGGTTTTAGCCACTGATCTCAAGCTCCAAGCCTTTCCATTGATTTCCTTCTCCGAGGTTGTTTGCCTCTGGCGGCTTGCCACTGTAGAATTCATGAACCGAGGAACAAGCCCAGAAGTCTTTTTCACTTTTACTGGTTTATCAGATGATTTCGGTGTCGGTCTAACGTCTTTCAGATCATCTGAAGGTGAGAGATCGCATTTTTCCCCATTTTCTTGAGATTTATCGTAAGTGATTGAGAATAGTTTATTGTTTTTACGCAGTAGATGCTCTGCCTCCTGCAACCGAGCTTCTATTTTCTTGCATTCTTCTTCAGTTTCTCGCATGTCTTCTTCGAGTTCCGATATTCTTTTCTCTTTCAGCTTCCGAAGTTCCTACAAAATGTACATCTAGAACTTCAGCAAACTCTGCAACATATACACATACATACTCAAGCAATATATTGACTTCTCTCTCTATATATATATGCATATTCTTGAGTCTGTATGCATTCTCACCGGCGTGGATTCTCTGTTATACTCCACAGCTCTTGCACGTTTTGTAAAGCTCAGGGAGCAAATTGTTTCTGCAAAGTCTTCTTCACAAGGACTTATGTGCACAAGCATCAGAACCTTCGAACCAGTGCCTAAAAGAATCAAATTCGGTATCATTAAACTGAAAACAGACTGAAAACTTAGATAGCATCAGTTGTATGGTAAAAGTTCAAATATTTTGTTCTCACTTGACTTGAATAGCTGAATTATAATCTGTAAGCAAGAACATGGGGAAAAGAAGATAAAAGAGTACAAAAATCAGATGCTCTACCAAGGGAATCTCTGAGGATTTGAGTTAGCTTGCTGTTTCTGCAACCATGTGAAAGGGGAAAAAGGAAAAGATGAACTCAGCATAAACCAAAGCACTAAGTGTAAGGAGGAAGCCATAACCAAAGAACTTACCTGTAAGGAACATGACCCTTCTTTCTCCTTAAAGCTGCAATAACATCTCCAAGAGCGGAAAGCGAGAGGTTAATGGCCCTTCCTTCATCCATAGTTTGTCCTGTGGCCCCTGTTTTCAGTAACCTCTCACTTCCTCCGAGATCTATCATCCAAAACTTGCTAACTTCAGTTTTCGATCCAACAGCATCATCATCCATCCGACGAAAGATCGTGATCCTTGTTAAGCTATAGATAAACTAAATCGATAAGAGTGACTACACAAGCTGAATTACCAAAATTATTAAGAAACTCTATAGAGAAGCTGAATAGAAAAACCAGTGAGAATGAGTCAAATTGATGGATTGCGATGATCGAGAACCTACCAGTGGGATCTGCTGGAAGCATCATTCACATTTGTCCACGACGTTGATCTCAACCGTCTCCCCTTACTGTACCACCATCTCGCCTTTGTGAAATCTGGTATTTCCACCTCTGTTAGACCCTCGATTTCAACAGATCCTTTCGAGTCTAATTGAATGTTGAGATTGCTGTAAGAAAAGTTTGGCAGAAGAATTTAGACATGCTTTATTCTTTGGTTTTAGATCCAAGAATTCGATTGAGGAAGCCGATTACCATTTAGATGATGCTTCATAAGACCTCAAAGGCTGTCTCGAGGACAAGAGATCTTTCAGGTTACCCATGTATATTTCCAACATGCTCATGGTAAATGTCATGGAATGTGTATGACCCATTGATGCTTGGTTAAAGAGCTCCTTAAGAGCTCGAGGAACAACACCCGGCTGCTCGATTGTACCATCCTGAATAGAAACATTCTCCTCTATCACTTGCAAGATAAAATCACCGACCAAACCTTTAACATAATCTAAAGATTGAGTGCCAAAGATCACTAACCATGGTGAACGTCTTGCCTGTCCCAGTTTGACCATAGGCCAAGACACATACATTATGACCATCAAGGGCCGATCTAACAATGGGTTTTACATCGGTGAAGACGTCTTCTACAGAGTTTTAAAAAAACAGAGTAAGGCCTCATGTATCAGAACTGGAATGCAATGAAAACCAGAGATACCAAATAACAGGAGCAATACAATAGAGTAACAGCAAACTAACCTTGACTTGCAGATTGAGGAAAGACCTTATCAAACCCGAATTCCTTCTGAGACCCTCCAGATCTAACAACGATATTCTCCGATCCAACTGAAACGGGTTCCCGGATCGGTCTCCTTCCTGTCAAGAGATATGGCCTAACTCTACAAAACACCCTTATACTTCCTGCCAATTGAGGCCAATCCTCGAGTTAACCATCCCCTTTCAAAAAAAAGAAGAAAAAAAAAGAAGAGAAGAACAACCCGGTAAAGCTGCAACCTTTAATGTCTATTATCTTATTCAGAACTTCCCTCCTCTTCCCATCCAAGGACCTTAGCTTCGACTTCAGCTCCGCAACTTCCTCTGTAAAAATCCAACCCGATTCAAATGAGCAAACTTGCCCAATGCTACTGTTTTTTTTAGTAAATCAAGCTGAGAGTCAACCTTGGAACCTTTTGATCCGAGAGGTTAGGCATGCCAAGAATCATATGGCATTTGCTATAAACAAATATTGTGATGAAACGAAAAACAAATTTCACGTAGAAACACGGCAGGAAATACCTTCAAGATTTGATATTGACTTCTCAAGCTCATTTTTCTGATACTCAGGAACGATGTTTACATCGGTATAAACCATGGGAACCGGTAGTGGAGAAGATTCAATTGATTCGGAAAAAGACGATGAACCGGCCGGAGATTCCGCCATCGAAATCCCTTCTGGTTCAGGTGAAATAAACATTTTCTCTCAGCTGAGAAAATATAAACCTTTTTTCAGGGAAAATGTTGGGTTTCTTGACCTGAACGAGATTCAGATTTCAGACAAGAAAACAAACGCCTAGGAGAAGTGGAAGTGGAATGGAAGACAACTTATCAGCCAATAGGTGGTAGTTAGAAACAAAGAAAAAGAACAATAAATTATAATTATTACAATTAGTTGCAGAGCTTGGAACAAGAAGACAACTTGATCTGTCTTTTAACTCGAGTAGATAATTGCCTGTTGGAAGTTCCCGATAAAAGAAAAGCTCTTTTTTTTTTAATTAAAAATAATAATAACCAGAATCAAGAAAACCCTCACAAAAGGAACAAATTTAAAGAAGGGAGAAGCAGAGAGAAGTGAAAACGAAGCAAACTCACTTTAGCCCAGAAGAATTCCAGAAAAGGGGAAAAAAATTCAAACTTTGAAGAGTCCCAAGAATCATTCAACTACAGTAGCAAGAATAGATTCAAGCATAGACATGAGATAATCTATGTTTATGTATGGATGTACACATGGAAATATAAAGAAAAACCAAGATTTTTCTCACAGGCATTAGATCGAGCGAGTGAGAAACAAGCTGGAGATTCAGAAAAAAGCGAGGGAAAGGAGCAAAATCCGAGAAAACCCTAGTTTGATTTTGAGCAAATGAACACAAAAAAAAGGGTTTATAGAAAGTTGGAGCAGTGTTTGTCAATGATTGAACAATCTTGTTGCCGTTTGCTGTTCCTGTGTTCAGATTTGAAGGCTGAAAATGAAACTCTCTCTCTCTCTCTCTCTGAGCATCATCGGAGCAGACATTATTAAAAAAAAAAATCCGAAAGAATCTCGTTCATGGTAGGTCCAGCTATGGCGTCAACTGTTCCAAGCCAAAAGTTGGCGTTTTTTTTTCTCTCTTGTTTGGCTAGTGGGAGAGGAGCGGGCGGGGTGCTGGAAAGGGCAAAATGGTAAAATTGATATCTTGTGGGCTGGGGAGACACGTAATCCAATGAGATCGACAACATTTTTTTTTTTAATTTTTAAAATAATACATGTAATCCAACTTGCTAATATATATAGACGATGATAAAAGATCATCTTTTTATCATGAAACCCGTCAAAAATTTAAACATGGATTGCTCGTAAATATTTTGTTTTATAAGGGATTATATATATATATATATATATATATATATAAAAGATCATAAACGTACTCCACAAAGAATTATATATAAAAAAACAAATTGAAATCTGACCAACACATAAATAAGTAGGGTGTCAAAACGAGTCTGTCTTACGAATTGGTTCGTGGCTCGCTAGAAAACGAGCGATATGAGCCGTGATTTTTTCATCTCATTAAAAAACAAGTCTAATGAGCACCAGACTCATTGAACACGTGTTCAATGAATCTCACTCGACGAGTTGGCGAACTGTTCAACGAGCTGACTTTTTTTAAATAAATTAAATTTATATACCTTGAATATATTTTTATATTTCTTTTTTTCATATCATTCATATGATATTATAAATATCCTAATTATTATTATGATGGTAATAATTGAAAATATTAAATGATATTGGAATTTTATTAATTTTTTTATGTATTTATTTAAATTTATAGCTAAATTTAGAATAAATATAAATAAAAAATATTATATATATCTGGCTCAATGAGTCGTTCGTTCAGATCGAAAAACTGGCGAGCGATTTGAGGCGATGTTTTTCTGGTTCGTTAGAAAACGAGCTAACGAACTGAATCCAAAACGATCCGAACCAAACGAGCCAAGCCACAAACGATCCGAAGTGGCTCCCTTGACACCCCTATCCGTAAGTGAACTACAAACCCTTAATTCCATCAAATATAATAAAACCAAAGTTTAATTTCGAGGATACGAAATATTATATTAGAATCTATACATAAATAAATATTTTAAACAAATCTAAATTAAAATACAAATATATAATAAACTGTAATAATACAATGTATTATGTTTTCCTTCTAAATGAAACAACTTGAATTCTTTTTTGCAGTTTGTTAAATTGTACATTAATAAAACCGGGGGTTTAAGTAAAACACTTTGAACAGATCGATTTTGTTTGGTTTATCTGTTCTGTACGGTGTTCGACCCAAAGCTTTGTGCCATTAAAAAAAATACAAAAAAAATTCTATTTTTCCCTTTTACCATTGTTTTCATAGTTTATTGAAGAAGAAGACGACAACAAACATTATATTATATACAATCTAATGTTATTGCAAATAATGGACAGTCTCAAGGTCACACCCGGGAATTTGAGACATCGATTCTAAATTTGACTAAATTGGGATGATTCAAGTGATAAATATAAACCTTTTTCCAAGGCGTAATTATTGACATTGTATTTTTTTTTCCCGAGCTATATTTTATTTAGAAAAACACTATATATATTACTCCTTCCATTTCTAAATATTTATTGTATAACAAAATATTTTTTTTATTGCTAATTAGATATCATTTTAAATTTTATAAGTGATTTTTTAAAAACACTTACAATTTTATCCTCAATTAAAATATTCAACTTTCAATAAAATATTAATTAAAATGAGATTTAATAGAAATATATATGATTTTTATATATTTTCTTAATAATTATAAAAAAATCTAAAACGACATTCTTTTAGAAACGGAGGGAGTATAAATAATTTTTAAAATGTATATTATTATTTTTTATTTGCAAAGTCTTATATATTTGATTAAGTAATCTCGGAAATATTATCACTCCGACATTTATTATGGATGTGAAGATGTAAATACATATGGTCCAATATATAGTCATTTTTTAATAAAAAATTATAATAAAAATTTGTACATTATTTGTAATATAGAGTCATTTGTAATTTTTTAAAAATGTATATTATTATCCTTGTAAAATTACTCTCTTATTTATTTATTATGGCTTTTGATGAAGGGTGTTAAAAGCTCAATACTACCTGGTCGAGAAATTGAATTTTCCGTCTAAATTCTGTGTTCCTAAAGATCTTCGCTTCTTCGTCCAAGCGCCCATTACCCCCAGCAAAGAAAAAAAAAAGACTCGCTTTTTCGTTTTTGACTTTTGTGATTATCTCCTCCGCTCAATTTCTTCAGATCAGTCGGATTCCCAAATCTCAACAATACGGACGATCGATTTTAGGGTTTTGGGCCTCCGATGAGTGTGTTTTGATTGCTGAATCTTCTAGTCGTCGATCACATCTGAAGTGCAGACAGAAGGTGTCGAGATTATCATCTCCTTTACGGTTTTGTTTTTGTTTCGTTGCATTTCTAGGTTATTGGTTTGTTCCAATTGCTGCCTTTTGTTCTATTTATGGGTTTTTCTTGTTGGATTTTTTATTGGGGGGCGAGTAGTTTCGAATTATTCGCGGAGATTTTCGATGGGTAGGGAAACTGTTTAGTTCTGTTCGGTTCTCTTGTTTATGGATCGAAAGAGGTTGTCTAGAGTTTGTCCAGTGATGTTGTAAACTGTCTCTTGCTTACCGAATTCAAGATTGGCGCTTGAAATTGATAACCTTTGACCAAAACATTCGTTGCCCACGATTCATATGTCCTGTAGCCGACCTTTTCCCTTAACGAACAAATAGAAAGGAGGGATTTTGGAAATTACAACTCTTAATCCATGGGCTTAATTGCTCCTTTCCGTTCCAGACAGACAGTCAATCAGCTTTTGTCTGACCGATGATGAAGTTTGTCTTGTTTGGTTTTGGATGATGGGAATGATAAACCCAGGTCAACAGTGTTATATAAGAATCAGCCTACTCTGAGAGGAGTCTATTAGTTTCTCGCTTGCTGGTTTGTTTACTTGCCGGTTTTTCTTTCAGGGTGTTTTGAGATGCACCGGGTTGGAAGTGCCGGGAGCAACGGCGGTTCTGTTCGTTCTCGCAAAGAGAAGAAGCTTACATATGTGTTAAATGATGCCAATGACTCAAAGGTCAGGTTGTTTTACATCCATACGAATTGCTACCTTCGAAATTTTTACCCTTTCATGTGATTTATCTGTTATCTAGTTCATCCATAGATCATATTCTGCTAGACATAGGAGTAGATTCAAGTTATATCTGCTCTGCAACTTAATCCTGATTGTTCTCTCTCTGGAATGCGCATACTACAGCATTGTGCTGGCATAAATTGTTTGGCTGTATTAAAGCCTTCTGTTCCCAGTGACAAAAGCTACCTCTTCACTGGAAGCCGCGATGGTACGCTCAAGAGATGGGCATTTGAAGAGGATGCTGCCTTCTGCTCAGCTACATTTGAATCTCACGTTGATTGGGTATATAAATTTCTTCTACTGCTTGTTGATTTCACTTGGGGATTAGTAAGCCTGGATTCTGTTTCGTGATGTCTGGTTGGATAGATTGTTGTGCCCTTCTGAGAGTTTGGGGAGCAGGGCACAATGTTATTTTGATTAATACTCTTTAGTTACTATCAAATGTTTTTTTTTAGGTCATTGTTAAAGGAAATGTTATTGTTGAGTTTTGAGCTATCCTACCCGTGATACTATTGAAAGCTGCTGCTGATTTTCTACTTTCTAGGTAAATGATGCTGCTTTGATTGGCGAAAGCACTCTTGTTTCTTGTTCATCAGACACTACCGTCAAGGTTTGCGACTTTATTATGGCCTCTAAACATTTATGGCCCAGATTTTTTTTGTCCTGGTTGTTACTGCATACCACACCATCTATTGGTTACTTAATGCGACATAATTTTCCTGCGAGACACTAGACATGGGATGGCTTGTCAGATGGGGTTTGTAAGAGGACTCTGCGTCAGCACTCTGACTATGTTACTTGCCTTGCAGTTGCGGCAAAAAATGTAATTTATGATCCCATCCTTTTTCTTCTTCCCTTTTCATGTATGTTTTTTAATTGCACAATGAGAAATTTTGCACGGTAGCTTCATTTTCATGGTCGGTTTCTGATCCTATCCTAGTTTCACGTTTTTAGAACAATGTAGTTGCATCTGGTGGCCTTGGTGGGGAGGTTTTTATATGGGATATTGAAGCTGCTTTGTCACCTGTTACAAAATCTAATGACGTATCAGAAGATAGTTCTCCAAGTGGCGTCAATGGTTCCGGGAACTCTTTACCAGTTACGAGCTTGCGGACTATTGGTTCAAGCAACAATATTTCTGTGCAGTCATCTCCATCCCAGGGTTATACACCAACAGCTGCCAAAGGCCACAAGGAGTCTGTCTATGCTTTGACGATGAATGATGCTGGAACAATTCTTGTCTCTGGTGGAACAGAGAAGGTATTCATACAACTTAGGTTTTTCAAAGATATAGAAAAAAGCAACAATTCTCTTCATTGAGAGCACTGTAACTGTATTAGGGGGCTTATGTTTTGTGAAAGCTATTCCGTGAACTTTTACTATTTCTTGCAGGTTTTACGTGTCTGGGACCCGAGAACAGGTTCCAAGACTATGAAATTGAGAGGACATACAGATAATGTCAGAGTACTGCTTCTGGACTCGACTGGCAGGTAAGTTTCTTGGATTATTCATTCGTGCAATGTTGAGCTTTTCTCCTTCTGTGGTAAACGTTCTATTATCTGACCGACGAGTGTTACTATGTTTCTTATTTTACGACTGCAGGTTTTGCTTGTCTGGGTCATCTGATTCTATGATAAGGTAGATTTTCTCTATTTTGTTCATTGTGACATGAGAATAAACCAAGCAACTGAAGTTATAGTGATGGTTTTGGTTCTAACTGGCTATGGATTATTTTTTAGACTCTGGGATCTTGGTCAGCAGCGATGTCTGCACACTTATGCTGTCCATACCGATTCTGTTTGGGCCCTTGCATGCAACCCATCGTTTAGTCATGTTTACAGCGGTGGAAGAGACCAAAGTGTGAGTAGCCAACCAACAAACCTTTCTGAGCTTGCACTCCTGTGTGTAACGTCTTTTCAGCAGCTTGCGTGACGTGTTATGTTTTCCTCAGTTGTACTTGACAGACTTGGCGAAAAGAGAGAGCGTTTTACTGTGCACTAAGGAACACCCAATTCAGCGTTTGGCTTTGCAAGATAATAGTATTTGGGTTGCTACAACGGACTCTTCTGTTGATAGATGGCCTGCTGAAGGACAAAGCCCCCAGAAGGTCTTTCAGCGAGGTGGCTCTTTCTTGGCTGGGAATTTGTCTTTTAACAGGGCAAGGGTGTCACTGGAAGGATCGAGTCCTGTAAGAAAAAAGAATACAATATGAATTGCTTTTTCTGCGTAGGTTTTCTCAAACCAATTTAGTTGATTTGGCTTATTTGCAGCTCCCCGTCTACAAGCTGCCATCACTTACCATTCCAGGAACTCCAGCAATTGTGCAACATGAGATTTTGAATAATAAAAGGCAAATCTTAACTAAGGTGAAGTAGAAATATCTAATGCAGTGGTCTGACCATCATTAAGCTAAATGCATGAATTGGATCGATGATATTATATTAGTCTGCTTTTGCTTTGGCAGGATGCTGCTGGCTCAGTGAAACTATGGGAGATAACCAGGGGTGTCGTGGTGGAGGACTACGGGAAGGTCTGTTTGGAAATTTGAGTTCTTGTGCCGTTTTACTACTATTTTTTTTTATTTTACATGTTTCTGCTTGCATTATTCTGAAAGTTCATGATTGGACCTCCATCTCTAATTTTTGTATGAAGCAATCACCAAGTTAAATAACTATTTTCCATTTCCATGTTTGCAGATTTCATTTGAGGAGAAGAAAGAAAAACTGTTTGAGATGGTAATAAGCCTTTTGGTTCATTTTTTATGGTTTCTTGTTTCATTTCTCAAAATGAGACAAGCAGATATGATTGCCTCTGTGATGTATTCTGCTTTGTCAGGTTAGCATCCCGTCATGGTTTACTGTGGATACTAGACTTGGATGCTTGTCTGTACATTTGGAGACACCGCAATGTTTCTCTGCTGAGATGTACTCAATGGACCTTAAAGTTACTGGTAGACCTGAAGATGATAAGGTAAGGATGGCTGAACTCCCTACAAACCTTCTTCGAAGCTAGTCAGGGATTTGACCTTGTTTGTTATATGTTACATTTAATTGTCGGCCTTAATGGGCCTCTGGCCATTGTAATAGATAAATATAGTGTATATTACTTATTGGCCTATGTGACTATGTCCATCGTAATCCCCTCCTTTCAATCTTTTTTTTTTTAAAATTTTTCAAAGAACTGGAGTTAAATGTTTTAAAAATGCAAGCGTTTCTTTTTCTATTCCAAGTTCTTAGAAACTGGAAACTTTTTTGTCTTTCTCCATGCGTCTATCATTATCATATAATCGAATGTCTTGAAAATATGTTTGCTCGTAGCTAATCAAAGTTGAAAATGCTTCTTTCTTTGCTTATGTGTTTTGTAGATTAATCTAGCTCGTGAGACCCTGAAAGGTCTGCTGGCTCATTGGTTGGCCAAAAGAAAACAGAGACCGAAATCACAACCTCCCACCAATGGAGATTCTTCGTCTATTAAAGATGCAATGAAAAATGTTAGCCTGCCCAAAGCTGAAGATAGTAATGCTGATAATGATCCAGTGTATCCTTCTTTCGAGTTTGCTTCTATCTCCCCTCCTTCCATCATTACAGAAGGTTCTCAGGGTGGTCCATGGAGAAAAAAGATAACTGAGTTTACTGGAGCTGAGGATGATAAGGACTTCCCATGGTGGTGCTTGGATGCTGTCTTGAACAATCGGCTTCCCCCTAGAGAAAACACAAAGTATATGTCACTTCCTCAAAATTACTCTGCCTTTCCTTTTTTTTTTGGGTCATCTTTTTGGGTTACAAAGATGTCCACAGCAGGCAATCTATACGTCCTTGAAGAGTGATATGAGATGCCCATAGTGGGCCGATCTAAAAGGGCATTACTCCACCACGGGTCACTGGATAATGTTATTCAGAAATCTTTTCCTTACAGATCCCTTTTCGTTTCTGTAAAGATGAATTGTCTTTTCTCCATTAATGGCTCACTGTGAAATTGTTTTGAGTTTCCAGGTTGAGCTTTTTCCTGCATCCATGTGAAGGTACAACTGCACAGGTAGTGACACTGGGGAAACTTAGTGCCCCACGGATCCTGAGAATCAATAAGGTTGGTTTATAAAGCTCTCACCCCCTGCTCGGGAGTTTAACAGAGAATTCACATCTAGTTTTGCCAAACACCTCTCTGTTTATCTCAGTGTTGAGATGATATCTGCATGTCAACTGTAGGTTATCAATTATGTCGTGGAAAAGATGGTCCTTGACAAACCGTTGGATAGTCTAGCGGCTGATGGAACAGGTGTTTTGGGTGGACAGTCACTGCAACTAGCTGCAGGAAATGGATCTTTCCATTCTGGTTTGAAGCCTTGGCAGAAGCTTAGGCCTTCCATTGAAATCTTATGCAATAATCAGGCAAGTCAATTCCATAGAAAAATCCTTGTTATATTATTGGAGAATATTTCTTGTCATATTGCGTACAAGCTACATTGATTTTTTTTCAAACTCAATTTACTCCAACCATGACCAATCAGACACCTTCTCCTGTGTTGGATTATAGTAAACCGGATCAAAGATTAAGATTATTTCCTCCATGTGAGCGATCAGAGGCTCAACTAGCTTCTTCTATGGTTTTCAGGTGTTGTCTCCAGATATGAGCTTAGCAACTGTACGGGCATATATTTGGAAGAAACCCGAAGACGTAGTCCTTAATTACAGAGTGGCTGTAGCTAGGTAACTTAAAGGTAAAGACCCAACTAATTGCATCATGGCAATGTTCGGTTTTTGCTTGATATCAGTCAGAAAGTCGTCTCATTTAGTAAACTAGAAATGTTTACGTTCTCTTTTACGTTTCCCCGCAATAACAAGAATATATTGACGGTTGAATTGCGGGGAAACTAGTCAGTGCCTTGTTTGTAAAAAGATGGTATCGTTTAGCTTTTGCTGAAGCAAGATCTTCAATGGATTGCTCTTTTCAATTCTCAAAACTATAGGAATACACTTAACGCTTGATAGAAGCAACTAAGGGAAAGGGGCATTGAGTTGAATCTCACCCCCGTATAATGATCCATTACAGATTTCGCAGGGGGGCAATTTTGGAGGATCTATGGCGTCGGGAACTGGTTGGTTAGTTCGGGGCAAAACCTCATGGTTCGGGTGCTTTGGACAAAGTATAAATCCCTTGAATCCTTGCAGTAGATCACCTTTTTATGATGAAAGATGGTTGGTTTGTGTTATTGGGAGTTCTGGCTGAGGAGAAGGATTGGCTTGGATGGACAGTGGAAGTGGATTTTACCAACAAAGGGTAGAGTTAATCAGGTAGATGATGTTGAAAAACTTTATTATTATTGAGTAATGTAACATTTACATTATGTCAAAATCAAAAGCTTTGGGGGAAGAACTTATTTTGTGGAACACAGTTCTTTGATTTGTGTTCAGAAGCAATAACAATCACAAAAATATTGTACAAAATCTGCTTCTTTTTTTTTTTAATTTAACTTGGGCACTTCTCTTGTGCACAAGCATGAGATGCTCTCTACCCCTTTCAATAAGAATCATAGACAAGCTTCAAAGACAATCTGAGTTCTCTGTCTTCCAGTGTGATAACTTAAAAAGGATAAGACAATTCACATATGGCTGCATCCCGTTTCCCAACCAGAAGCATATAATAAAGATTTGGACAAAACCATCAGATTCAATACAATGGAAAATACCCACATTTCTTTTTTTTTTCCTTCTTCTTTTGCTATCCGTTCTCTCAATATAACTGACATACAGAGTTGGAAAACATGGTGGCGCCAGGGACAATGGCAATACTACTCACCAGAGAAAGTGATCAAACCCTAGAGTCTTCAGAAGTTGAGAAATTGTTGTACAATCCCGAGTAGATAAATGATTTGCGTCTTTTCCAAGATGTCATCGAGATTAATTTTCTGAGTCGTTTCTGTTAGCTTCAGCCATCTCATGCTCTTTCTCTGCCTCCTCTGCGATGAAAATGGCACCCATGCGTATGTTAGGTTTTGCAACAAATGCAAACGAAATTCGTCCGCTCAATGGTTATAGTAGACATGAGGTCTTTAAGTAAAGAATACAAAGTCAGTGAACCGACACAGACACACTATTATCAACCAGTCATTCTCTTTAGCAGATCGAATCAAATCTTTAGAGAGCTTGTATTGGACAGCCTCTAACAAATTACACCAGTCAAGAACTGACAGTTCCCACATTTAGAATTGACGTATTTTACACGTGTGCTTATGTATGTATTAGCATAGGAATATCACTCAGTCACTCAAGTTTCCATGAATCAAAATTATGCTCATAGAGAAAGCCGCCACTTACCCATGAGTTTGAACATTGCCTTCTGAGTCCGCCTTTCGAGCTTGTCAAGCTTCTTCTGAACATCCCTTCTAAGGTCCCAGTTTGGCTTCTTTGGAGCGATGTTGACAAGTGGGTCCTATAAAGATATTAGAGTGTTAGCTAATCAACACAAGTAAAATGAAAACAAAACAGTGATTTAGCATACAACTTAGTAGTCAGAACCAGTCATGCACCTCTTTCTTCTCTGCTACTGGTAGAGTGGAAGCAACCGGATCTTCAAACTTGGGCAGTTCGGGTGGGGCAAGTTTACCCTCCTGAAGATGCTTATCTTGGGGAACATAATTTCTAAATTTCATGGTGGGGTTACTGCAAAATCGATAAGCACGATACAAATGAACAATGAAACAAATTACTTAAGCACAGAAACTACAAATAGCTGCAATGAAAGAAAACATATTCTGTGTCTTAAGGATGCAATCTGGACCACGGATGATGATAATACAAACTATACATGTTTCGGATATAACCGAGAGGCAATCTGCTAATCTGAAAAGCTCCGAGAATGCTTTAGCCATCAACACAACCAAAGAAACTCTCATCCACATCAACTCATTTCTCCTTGAATATCCTACCTAAAGTCACTGTTCTTGTAATCAAGAGTGTAGATAGAGAACTCTAGCCAAGGACCAATGAACAAAGTACACTCACCTTTCTTCACCGGCATCATCTTCTTCGTTTTCCTTGTTCTCGGCCAGTTCCTGAGCTGCCCTTAGAGCTCTCAGGGCCTCTCGTCGAGATGCCGCTTTTTGTTCTATCGATTCATCTTCACTAGCCATCGCTTCCTGCAAACCATAGCTTAGCGGCCTTAATATCGAATTCAAAAACCTACCTTTAACAATTTATATATTATACAGACTTCAAAAATCCACACGTTCCCGCACTACTAGCAGGCTTCCACTAACATCCATCAGAGAACCATTTCACCGTAAACCCTAAACCATATCCAAATCACGATATCAGGAGAAATCAGTTAAATTATTGACCGAAATCTCCGATTCTACTCACTTAACGCAACCCACTCGATTGCTCACAAAACCAGAGGCTAAATTTCCGAACGTAATATCCAACACTAATAGAAAAATAACCTGTTTGGCTGCCGAGAAAACGAGGGAAAATAGCAGGGAAAATTGGAATCGAAGCTTCAAGCTTTGTTTTTTCCTTTCAGAAAAATCTGCTCGACGGGGAAACAGAAATGGAAACAAAACACCAAATCGGTGCGATTAGTAATGGGCCGAGTAAAACAAATTATAGGCCCAAAAGGCTCAATGCTTAAACGACGGCACATTCGGAAATAGACATTTGCTTAAACCCTAAGAGCGAATTACGGAAATGCCATCCATTCCATAGTTTAGTTCCTAAAAACGCAGCGTTTTAGGTTGTTATCGACCTTTTTCTTCGACAGCTATACCCTCTTAAAACCCTAAAAAATCTCCTGGTTCCGTCTCTCCTCATTCTCCCTCCTTACGCAGCTCTTGATTAAACCCGCTGAGAGGTACGGAATATCTCTTTGGCTTCGTGGCTTTGCGTCGTCGATTTTGGTTCTGAGTACGACGGGGAAATATGAAAACTTTTATAGAGTTCGATCGCTTGTTGCCTTTGGGTAGTGTTTTGTTGTTTTTTGATGGGAGCTACGGTCTATGAGATTAGAACACGAAGAAGGGTATCTGTTTAATGCGTTTTCTTGCTATTTTTGCTTTTGAAAATGTTATCTTTTGCTTGCCGCTCTTGCCAATTTTTATTAGAGTGTAGTTTATTGGGTGTGGTGGCGGAGATATATGTTACAATACCGTGTATCTGTACGATTTTCCTTCTCTTTATGCGTTGACTGAAGGTTTCTCTTAATCGGTTTTTCAGGTGCTGATCTGAGGGTTTGCGAAAATGCTTGTCCTTTTCGAGACACCGGCTGGGTTTGCCCTCTTTAAAGTATTAGATGAAGGAAAGCTCTCTAAAGTTGAGGTAATTATCTTGGCTCGGTAGATTCTGTCAGGCTCTTTTGCTTAACTAACCCTTTGTGCTTTTTCAGTTCGGCGGTGTTCTGAAATGTGTCGGTTTTGTTTTTTGCAGGACTTGGGGAATGAGTTCTTGACAGCGGACTCAGCCAGAAAGGTGATCTTTCAGTTGCATACATTGACTTGTGATTCGTTTTTCCTTTTGTTCGATTAATGCCCGTTTCCTGGTTTTGTGATTTATTGCATTTTCTGTATGTTTTGGACAATGTCAAATGTTGTTTTCAGCCTCGGTGAAAAATGTTTAGCCCGAGTTTCTCATAGTTTTTTTTGGTTCCCCAGGTGGTTAAGCTAAAAGCCTTCAACAAGTTTGACAACACATCTGAAGCTCTTGAAGCAGCGGCTAAATTGATGGAGGGAGCTCCTAGCAAGGGTCTTCGCAAGTTCTTGAAAGCTAACTGTGAAGGTGAAGCCTTGGCTGTGGCTGATTCCAAGCTTGGGAATGCGATTAAGGAGAAACTGGTTGGTTAAATGTCATTTGAAGTTTTTAATTAGTTATTTTCTTCTGTGCTTCTGTCATCTAAAGCTCTTAACCGATGCAGAAAATAGATTGTGTTCATAACACTGCTGTTATGGAGCTTCTACGAGGGGTGAGAAGTCAGCTTACCGAACTCATATCTGGTTTGGGTGATCAAGATTTGGCTCCGATGAGTTTGGGTTTGTCTCATAGCCTTGCAAGATACAAGCTGAAGTTCAGTGCTGATAAGGTATTCTTCTGTCAAAGTTGTTGATTTTTATTGGCCTAACCATTTAGCCGCCTTTGGTAGTTCATAGCACTGTTGGATTAAAATTTACCTCCTTATTTCCACGCAACATGAGATGAGACATTTTCTCCATCTCTGTACAATCCCCCGCCACTTCTCAAAATTTCTGAATCTGATGCACATTTCTCTTGTGCTGGTTTCCAAGCAACATTACTGGATTTATCTGTTTAGAATTGAGATGGTCAAGTTAATGCCATGAAGCAGAGTCAGAGTGGAAAATAGGCTGCAAAATCCTTTCTTTTTTCTCCCATATTTGGACCCGCATTCATCTTCTTAACACATCACTTCCTATCAGGTGGACACGATGATAATTCAAGCCATCGGTCTGCTTGATGATCTCGACAAAGAGCTGAACACCTACGCAATGAGGGTACGGGAATGGTACGGATGGCATTTCCCTGAGCTTGCTAAGATTGTACAAGACAATATCCTATATGCTAAGGCTGTCAAATTGATGGGTAATCGCACGAATGCTGCAAAGCTAGACTTCTCTGAGGTGACTCTTGTTTTACCAATCTCTTATTTTTCATAATCAGTCGCAGGATTTGACTTACATATACATTGATATTTACTGTCGAGATTATAAATTATACTCTTTTGTTTTGCACAGAATAAAAAAAAAGTGTCTTATTTAAATTTTTACTCTTTTGATTCCATGTTTATCTACAGATCTTGCCGGAGGAAGTTGAGGCGGAGCTGAAGGAGGCAGCTGTGATATCCATGGGAACTGAAATCAGTGACCTTGACTTGATTCACATCAGAGAACTCTGTGACCAGGTCCTTTCCCTGGCTGAGTACAGAGCTCAGCTTTACGACTACTTAAAGAGCAGAATGAACACTATTGCTCCAAACCTGACTGCCCTTGTCGGTGAACTTGTTGGTGCTCGTCTAATAGCTCATGGTGGTAGTTTGTTGAACCTTGCCAAACAACCTGGAAGCACGGTTCAGATTCTTGGAGCCGAAAAGGCCCTCTTTAGAGCGCTTAAGACAAAACACAACACACCAAAGTATGGTCTCATTTACCATGCATCTGTGGTTGGACAAGCAGCACCGAAACATAAGGGCAAGATCTCTCGGTCTTTAGCTGCAAAAACTGCTCTGGCTGTTAGGTGTGATGCTCTGGGCGATAGCCAAGATAACACTATGGGGCTCGAGAACCGTGCTAAGGTATTCTCAAAAGCCCTGTCAAATTCTGTTAGCGGGTGTTATTGAACAGTCCCGATCATCAATTTCTGATGTCTGTTGATTTTGGACAGCTCGAGGCACGGTTGAGAAATCTTGAAGGAAGAGATCTTGGACGTTTGTCTGGTTCAGCTAAAGGCAAACCCAAGATTGAAGCTTATGACAAGGATAAAAAGGCAGGATCCGGGGCTCTCATCACTCCTGCTAAGGTGTGAAATCGTCACTAATCATTTCCCACCATCCCTTGCTGATTGTGTTGGATTTTATATTGGATCTATGTTGCTTAGTCTTTGTTCTTTAATGATTGTGACAATATATAGCTTAAGCATTAAGCTTTTGATTACTGTTGTTTTGCAGACTTACAACACTGCTGCAGACTCGCTTCTTGGGCAAACGCCGAAATCAACAGCTGAAGAAGGGGAAGAGAAGAGAGAGACCGAGACAGATGAGAAGAAAGACAAGAAGAAGAAGAAGAAAGTAGAAGCAGAAGCAGAAGCAGAAAAACCCGAAACCGAAGAACCCTCAAAGAAGAAGAAGAAGAAGAAAGCAGAAGTAGAAGCAGAAGAACCAACTAAGGAAGAGAAGAAGGAGAAGAAGAAGAAGAAGAAGCAAGCTGAGGAGGAAGGTGAAGAAGCTGATAATGGCAAAGACAAGAAGAAGAAGAAGAAGAGAAAGCACGAGGAAGAGGAAGCAGAACCAGAAATGCCGGCCAAGAAGAAAGAGAAGAAGAAAAAGAAGAATGATGAATGAGGCTGTGGACTGAAAGACCAAGAGAGGCTTCAAGAGGAAATTTAGTTTTTGCTTATTTTTGGCGTAGGGTGTAAGGTTGATTGTCTGAGACACTCAAATTTTCCATCATTTTCCATTATAAGCGTTTGTTTGATTGATAAGACTCTGAACCTACAAAAAAAAATCCGTTTTTGGAATATCGTATGAAATTTTGGACTGCATTTTTGTACAGAACAAGAAGCAAATTGTTTCTAATTAAAAATATAGCCCAACTAAAATAAAATGCAAAAGAAATTGGATTAAATATTAATATTTTAGTGTGTTTTTTTAACAGAATATTATTATTATTATTATTATTATTATTATTATTATTATTATTATTATTATTATTATTATTATTATTATTATTATTATTATTATTATTATTATTATTATTATTATTATTATTATTATTATTATTATTATTATTATTATTATTATTATTATTATTATTATTATTATTATTATTATTATTATTATTATTATTATTATTATTATTATTATTATTATATATTTGAGTAATAGAGTATGTTAGGTTACAATAAAATGTTTCAGATTTGATTAATATAAATAATAATGTTGAGTGGCATGGTTTCTTCAAAGGACAGAATTAATCACTAATTCCTTAGTGTTATGTCCCTTGTTTGGTCTACATCAGAATCTTCAATAATGGAGATTCCTTTGATTGGAGATGAAAATTTTAATCCAAAATTTTATATTGAATTTAAAATTTTAAAATAAAGTATCAAAATATATACAGAAATATCGTAGATAAGTCTTATATCTTGTGCCTTTATTTTTAACTAGAAAAGTATTTTAAAAAATTACGGAATGTAAAAAAAATTAAAATCTAATTTGTCTTGAATTAACACTAGATTTAATTAATTTTTAGAAACATTTAGTTCGTAACATTTGATTTTATGTAAAACTTTAAATGGAGCATATTTTATTTCATTTTAAAAACCTATATCCGAATAATAATAAATTTAAATTTAAATTTTGAATAACCCACGTTAGAGATGGGGAACAAATAAAAGGTTGGTGGGCGGTGGGGACGGGTTAGTAACTTTTGAGGCTTTGACCTGTTTCTGCTGAATAGAAAAACGAGAGAGAATTTTGGAGACAATACACATAAAAACAGCCAACAGATCTTCGGCCGCTTCTATTTATCCCCTTTTCTTGTCTGAAGCAAGCAGGAAAAAAACATAAAAGAAGAAGAAGAAGAAAAATACAGGAGAGAGAGAGAGAGGGAGAGAGAGGGGGAGAGAGTCAATTTGAAGCAGTTTAACGAATCCTCCCTCTTTTGTTTTTGATCTTTTTCTCAGATTTTACCAAAGTGGGTTTCTTTCTCCTCAATTAATGGCGGTATGTGTTCGTGTGTATGTACATCCGTATATGTGTATGTATATCACCTTGCCTTTATCAAAGCCCTAATCGATTTATCTTCCTTTTTTTTGCTTTAAAGGTTTCTTTTTTTTAAAACTTCAGGACCTCGACTCCATTTTCTTAATTCTCTCTCTCTCTCTCTCTGTGAATTTGGAATCCCTCATTTGTTAATTTTGTTGTCCCTTTCGTTGAGCCAGCTTATGTAGATGTATCTAACTACTTTCAGATCCTTCCTCTCTTTGACTTGTCTTACGGCCTGACAGCTCCTGTCTGAAATTAGGGTGTGTTTTTTCTTCTCTTTGGGTCTTTCTGCAGCTCGCTCTCGCTTGTTCAAGCTCGTGATCTGACCATCTGGGTTCTGAATTCCGCTACTCCTGGATCATAAAGTATAAATTTTTCTTTTGCCCTTTTTCTGTTCTTAGTCAATCTGATCCCGATACGAACCATCTTCGGGTTTGGAGCTGAATCTGGCTGTTCCTGTGTCGTATAGGAAGAAATCGCCGTCGGAAATTGTAGAATTTCCCGTTCTTTATGATCGATTCTGGTCTTGGATTGTATGTATGTGTTTGGTAGATAGCTGATCAGAGAGAGAGAGAGAGAGATTCATCAGGGACCGGTTGATGTTCAGAACATGTTGAGAAATGAGTAGCAAGTTCTCGAAATGGGGTGCGTTTTGGGACGACCTGAATCCTCAGGCTCAGTGGCTGAATCTAGACACGACAATAGCACACGGATCGAATCTAATAGAAAGGAAGTGAACGATCTGTCCGTGACGAAAACCGAAACAGAGAGCAGTAGCGTCCTTGTTGCTGCTGCTGCTGCTGAGATTCAGAACGATGAGGCTGTGGTCAGGAAGGAGGAGAACGTCGTGACTAAGGAACGAAAACCGAAAGGGGAAAGAAGAAGGGCTAAGCCAGATCCGAGAAAGAGCAACCCGCCGAGGAATTTGCACGGCGAGCAGGTCGCTGCAGGATGGCCTTCGTGGCTGTCCGAAGTTTGCGGGGAGGCGCTCAACGGATGGCTTCCCCGAAAGGCAGACTCGTTTCAGAAGATCGAGAAGGTGAGTTCTGTTGTGTACATTGGTTTTTCATGAAAGTTGAATCTTGATTTTCGTATGTTCTTTCTCGTGGTAGATTGGATCGGGAACATATAGTAACGTCTACAAGGCGAAAGATACATTGACGAACAAGATCGTTGCTTTGAAGAAGGTTCGGTGCGACATTGTGGAACGCGAGAGTTTGAGGTTTATGGCTCGGGAGATTCTCATATTACGGAGATTGGATCATCCTAATGTCATAAAATTGGAAGGTTTGGTCACTTCAAGGATGTCAAGTAGTTTATACTTGGTGTTCCAATACATGGACCATGATCTGGCCGGTCTTGCTGCTAGCCCCGATATAAAGTTTACGGTCCAACAGGTGAGAAACCCTAACACGTCGAGGTTAACTAACCGGGACTTCTTCTTGGTTCTTGCCCTGATTTTGATAGCCGGGCATTTTGACTCATGTTTTTCAGGTTAAATGCTATATGCAACAACTGCTCTCGGGGCTCGAGCATTGTCATAGTCGAGGAGTGCTTCACCGTGATATCAAAGGGTCGAATCTTCTTATAGACGATGAAGGGGTACTTAGAATCGGGGACTTTGGGCTTGCGACCTTCTTTGACCCGAGCAGCAGGCAACCGATGACGAATAGGGTCGTTACTTTATGGTATAGAGCTCCCGAGCTTCTCCTAGGTGTCGTTGAATACGGTGTCGGTATTGATTTATGGAGCGCCGGCTGCATTTTAGCCGAGTTGCTCTCTGGCCGACCCATCATGCCAGGCCGTAACGAGGTAACCTCTTGGGTAAATTGGTATGAAATTCGTGAAAATGTGAACCCGAGCTGTTAAAAAACGGTATTTGGTTATATTTCAAGGTGGAGCAATTACATAGGATATACAAGTTGTGTGGTTCGCCTTCGGAAGAGTATTGGAGAAAGCTTAAATTCCCGAGCCATCATAAGAATGTGTACAAGCCACGAGAGCCTTACAAGAGGCGGATAAGAGACGTTTTCAAGGATTTCTCGGCCGAGTCGCTTTCTCTCCTCGATACTCTCTTGGCATTCGACCCGGCTGAGCGCCAGACTGCCTCGGATTCTCTCATGAGCGATGTAAGTTTCTCCGGACTCCATTAGAAAGAAAGTTTCTTCCTTTCATTTCGAAAAGTATAAAACTTTCTGGTAGCCACGGAGAAAACAGACAGTTGGATACCGAATTTTGATATTTACAGGTTAATGATCTTCTGATGGGTTCGATATTTATGATATCTGCAGTTCTTTACAACGGAGCCTCTTCCGTGTAGACCTTCGGATCTTCCCAAATATCCTCCGACCAAAGAGATCGATGCCAAGAAACGAGATGACGAGTTCCGGAGGTTCGTTCTTTCGTCCTTTCGCCCTGTCCTGAAAATCGATGAAAAACCCGTCTTAGATCTTCGAAGATTTCACCTTCTTGCTTTGATCACTTGCAATGTGTTTAGCTATTTGTCTGATGCATTATGCAGACAAAGAGAAGCTCGTAAGGCTCAAGGAGAGAGCGGAAGAAGAGCGAGACCCCGTGAACGTGGCCCGAGAGCCATGCCTGCCCCTGAAGCCAATGCCGAGAATCAATCCAACATCAACGTAAGTACCAGAAATCTGTCCTGTTTTTTTGTATATTAGGATTTCAGACAGAACCCATCTGACATCTGACATTCGGACAAAACTGTTCCTCGTTCTTGGTTTCCGACAGAAACTGAGATTGATTACGCACGCGAACGCGAAGAGCAAGAGCGAGAAGTTTCCTCCGCCGCATCAGGACGGGGCGCTCGGTTTTCCGGTGGGATCTTCACGGCGAGTTGACCCATCGGAGATCCCTTTCAGCTCGACGTCCTTCACTGCTTACTCGAACGAGCCTCTCCAGACATGGTCGGGCCCCCTCCCGGTCCCCGACACGTCCCGGAGATGGAGACACGGCGGCGAGACGTCGGCCAGGAAGAATGATCGGAGACTGGATGCTAAGGTTAAGGGGAAGAGAGCCATTGTCTGATAGATCCTTCTGCCTCATTCAAAGGTTGCCTCTTTTTTTTTTTAAAATCAAAATACGTAATGAGAAACAAAACGAAGAAGAACAATTAAAGCTTCCATTTTTTTTATATGTTTTGATATTATTATATGAGGAAGTTTACCACTTTGGACCCGACGAGGAAATCGTTTTTATATTTTTATCGTAAATTCACGTTTTTTTTTTTGTTAAGGAGAAAACTTTTCAATTTTCTTTTTTTCCCCTTCTTGAAAAAATTCATTTCATAATTTATGGCCAAAAGTTGAGAATTTTGGAAATTGAGGTTTAAGTTTGTAAGTGAGAATTTTGTCCTCGATTTTGTAATTTATTCCGTCTTTACGACAAGAATAACGACCCCTGTAGTTTTGAGAAACATTGAAATAGCCCCCTATATTCTTAATTTTTACATTATGGTCCAAAGATCACAACAAGATCTTCGAGATTTGTAAAATACGATGAATCTAATATCACATATCCGAGAATTTGATACGATATCCTATCTAAAAAATTTTAATTCAAAAAAATCATTCAACTTATATTCTGAGTTTTAATAATTTGTATCTAACTACGTAGAAAATAACTTTTAGATAGAACAAATACGTACATACATACATGACGTATGTATTTTGGGGAAATATATACGTCAATATTAATATATATTATCTTCTTAACAGGCAAAAAAATATATTACAATTTACAATCATGGATGTTGCTGGGGCACTAATACACGTTGAAGAGCTGACAACTACGCATATTTAAATTATAATATCAAGTAAAACATACGACTCTTTCAATAATTCCTCTCCTAACACTCTCTAAATATTTATTTTTATCACAATCTGATTTTTTCACATTATTAAACTTGTTTTATCATATACTTTTAATAAGCGACAGTCAGTGATACCGATCATGATATCTAAATTTAACTTATTACAACAATCAAATAACTCATAGGATGCATTTTTATAATTCGAAATCGTCCTAAAATTTAAAGATTAATAACTTTTAGAATTTACTCTTTTTTACTCGTTAATTAAGGGTTCATTAGTTACCAGAAAATGATGGTTTCTAATTTCTCCGAAAATCTTATTATTTAGTATAATTATCACCGAAATGTAAAATAATCTGCATACGTTTAAATTTATTCCAAATTATCTAGTTATACTTCCCTTTGAAGGGTTGTGGTCAGATTAATATTTAAGGTTAGTCAAATTTTGATGATATATGTCCCTTTAATTTCCAAAAGTCCACACAAATATAGGATCTATATTGCATAGTTATTTAAAAAGTAGAAATAAAATTATTCGTATAGTCTTGTCCGGCTATATTACAAATTCATTCTTTAATATAGAATTAAAAGATTCAAAAAACTAAAAGGAAAAAAGTTGATTTATTGACTAGTATACTAACTACCAAAATAATAATTTCGACTATGGTTTCATATTCTTAAAAATATTATCTTTTATTATTTGATTTTAAAATATCTGTCTATTCAAAAAATATGGTCAAAATAAAATAACATAAAAGAAAAAGGGACAGAGAAGTCGATTACCATTGTATCTGCTGTCAAAATATATACAATATAAAAATTATAAAATAAATAACTAATCTCTAAAAAAAAAAAAGCCATTGTTGCTGCCGAACGAGGGGTTTTATCGAATACGGCGGCTCGCACAGTAACTACAGAACATCCTAGATTGATCTGATTTAAACAGGATTCCAAATCGACGGCTGTAAAGTCTCCGTTTGTGATTCCTTCACCTGAAACAACTACAAATATTTCTCTCCCCTCCGTTCGAATCCAATTGTCGCTCTCGCTCCACCGTACACGTCTCCCTCTATTTCCAGAAAATCGAATCTGTTCGATCCTCACTCGAGAAGCCCTCCTCTTCCCTTTTTTTTTCCGATCGATACCCTTCATTTCCTGGTGGCGTGTACGTATCGTTCCCGTGTCAGAATTTGTGTATACGCGCGTGTATATACATGCACAGGCATAGGGTCTTGGCGGAATCTCAGACATAGCTTCCTTCTTGCTCTGGTTTCGGTTTCTGGAGCGCGATCCTGTTCTCTTGGTTTTCACTGGTTTTGCTGAATCTGGGAAGTGGATTAGATCATCTGGAAGCGCTTCAGGTTTGCGATTCGAATCCACTGTTTCTTCGACGCTATGGTTGACTTTAGTAATTCTTTGCTTTTTTTCACAACCTAGGTTTCTATCATGCTTCATTGGGCATACCCAAAATGGGATATTTCAGAATTTGGGTTTGTCATATTGGATCTTTTGCGTCGGTTCTTTTTAAAATCTTTTCTGGGTTTTAGCTGGTCAATGATGTTTCATATGGCTTACCGATTTCTAAAATCCGAAGAGATTTCCTTTTTTCCACAAGTAAAAATGGTTCTTATCGAATGAGTTGCAGCTCCGAGGTTGTCGATGTGTTCGTGTAAAGGAACAATCTTTGGTTGTTTTTTTTTTTTAATTGTATTGATGGACATTTACTTGTATGTTTGCTTATGCTTAACCTTTATTGGTTATGAATGCAGAATTTGTTGCCCATGGATGGTCCGGAAAGATAAAGGGATAGCCGACCTGCAGATTTGTATCTTGCCATTGTACTTGTTGGTGTTAGGACAGCTTGTTATTGACTTGTTTGGGTGAAATAAATCAAGAAAAAAAAGCAAGGAAATTGGCGGATCAAGAAGATGGAAATGCTTGGGTCTCACTTTGGCTCTTTACTGTCTAAATTGAATGCGGTGTCCACTTCTGATCACTCATCCGTGGTTTCACTGAATCTCTTTGTTGCACTTCTCTGTGCCTGTATTGTGATTGGGCACCTTTTGGAAGAGAACCGATGGATGAACGAATCCATCACTGCTTTATTGATTGTAAGAGTTACAGTTAGGGTTCTTGATTTTATCGTGTAAAGATTTCGTTTTGAACGAGTTCTGAGGCGATTTGGTTTGCAGGGTCTTGGCACTGGTATTGTCATTTTGTTGATTAGTGGTGGGAAAAGCTCACGTCTTATGGTCTTCAGTGAAGATCTCTTCTTCATATATCTTTTGCCACCAATCATATTCAACGCGGGGTAAGTTTATTGCCCATTAGATCTTTTCTTTTCTTTTATTTTCTTGTTCAGAGTGATGTTTTTCTTATTAGTGTCTCTTAGTTTCACCTCCTGATGGATTTGTAGTTTGTGCTTGGTGGTTTTGGTTCGGTTGTGTATCTTTTGAAGCATGTGTAATAGGAAGAGAGGAAAAGGGGACATCATACGTTAATGGCTAATTTAAGTTAAGACTTATCCACATGGACTTAGGTGGTCCTGTTGTGTGTCACTGTCATGAATGAAGGCACTGCTGGGTTCTAGATTGGAAACTATATATGCTTTTTACATGTGATTTTTTTTTTCTCGCTGTATATTTTCAGGTTTCAAGTGAAAAAGAAGCAGTTCTTCCGTAATTTCGTGACGATTATACTTTTTGGGGCCATCGGGACTATAATCTCTTGCATAATCATAACTTTAGGTACTTTTGTTTCTTTCATTATCTGGATCAGATTGTCTAAAGCTACTTCTAAGTAAGCGAGTTAGTGATCACTAATCCTCTCGGATTGGTATAAGCTTCGCCTTATCATTGATTTTCTGCACAGGTGTAACTCAGTTCTTCAAGAATCTGGACATTGGAACCTTCGATTTGGGTGATTATCTCGGTAAGCCTAAAATATTGGTTTATATTATTCTTGTTTCTTTCCTTTCTTATTTTCTTTTCTTGAAGTTCCGGGTTTTCTTTTCATGTTTAATTTTCAGCAATCGGAGCGATATTTGCTGCAACGGATTCCGTTTGCACATTGCAGGTAATGTTTTGTCCCAACTCAAATGGAGGGGAAATAAAAATCAAGAAACAAAGTTTACCAAAAGCTTTTCTTTTTCGTGTTTCTGTGGGGATGCAGATTCTTAATCAGGACGAGACACCTTTGCTGTACAGTCTTGTTTTCGGAGAGGGTGTCGTGAACGATGCCACCTCAGTCGTGCTCTTCAACGCGATCCAAAGCTTCGACCTTTCCCACCTTAATCTTGAAGCTGCTCTGCATTTTCTCGGAAACTTCTTGTATCTGTTTATCCTGAGCACCTTGCTTGGTGTCGCTGTAAGCCCCATACGGTGTCGGTATTGATTTATGGAGCGCCGGCTGCATTTTAGATCGGGTTTTGGCTTCTTTGGATCAATTTCTTGTATTAGCCCATCCCCCCCCCCCCCCTCTCTCTCTCTCAAGTTTATGTGCGTTACGTGCAATTTTCATGTTTCGGGTCTTGCAGACTGGTCTGGTAAGTGCGTACATAATCAAGAAGCTATATTTCGGAAGGTACGTTAAGTAATTGGCACAGTAATGCGTCTTTACTGTTCAATCTTACGATTCGATCTGACTATATATGATGTTACCTTAGGCATTCAACTGATCGGGAGGTTTCCCTCATGATGCTTATGGCGTATCTTTCCTACATGCTTGCTGAGGTTTATGTCCTGTGAAAAATCTCGATGAAATTCCTTTTCGTGCATTTGATGTAAAAAAAATTGTAACGATAATCCTATCGTTTTGGGTTGCAGCTATTCGAGTTGAGCGGCATTCTCACCGTGTTCTTCTGCGGAATCGTGATGTCTCATTACACCTGGCACAATGTGACCGAGAGCTCGAGAATCACTACCAAGTATTCAATCTCTAAAACTCGGTTCAAATGTTTTTCTTTTTCCGATTAATTGGATGCCAAATTTATAAATCTACGATATCATTACAGGCATACATTTGCGACGTTGTCGTTTGTTGCCGAGACATTTATCTTCCTCTACGTCGGAATGGATGCTCTCGACATTGAGAAGTGGAGATCTGTGAGCGACAGGTATTTTCTCATTTCTTCCCGTTTGCTTCTTAGCTTTATCCTATCCGTGGATAACGTATATCCTCTGTCTGGTTTTTGCACAGCCCGGGGACATCAGTTGCAGTGAGCTCGATTCTGCTCGGACTAGTGATGCTCGGAATATCGTTTATCTCCAACTTATCCAAGAAGAATCCAAACGAGAAAATCGACATAAAGCAGCAAGTGTGTAAACTATCCCGCTTTGTCTACTAGATTCATCGTTCTTCGGGATCTGGCTGTTTATCGTTGGGCTTTGTTCCTCTCCGTTTAGGTCGTTATTTGGTGGGCCGGTCTGATGAGAGGCGCTGTATCTATGGCTCTGGCTTACAATAAGGTAAAAAATCGTTGCTTAAACGAGTTTAAGAAACTAAAGAACGATTTCCTTGGAAAGCATATTTCACGGGTCAACGACTTTTTTCTCCGTGTTTTTTTTTTTCCTGGATGTAGTTCACAAGGTCGGGACATACAGAGTTGCGGGGGAATGCGATAATGATCACCAGTACTATAACTGTCTGTCTTGTTAGCACCATGGTAAGATAAGCTGGCTCCCCGAGTTGCATTCGTATTCTTTATCGGGTGTCGAGTGCTATATTTTATCCGTCGCTGTCGTAATCTAAAAGCCAGTTTCATTTTTGGGGTTTTGGCGGTTTCGTTGGAAATTTCATTCGAAACCGCTAGTTTTTGCCTTAGGAATTCAGTTTCATAGATATAGGCCATATCGGATTTCCCAATTTTTCTTGAACCCTTGCATGTCGTACGGGGTTTTTTCTCGCGTTTTCGGGGATTTCCGACTAAACCATTCCCGGGTTAAACATCTTTTATTCTCGTTTCATCGATTTCAGGTGTTCGGTATGCTGACGAAACCGCTCATACAGTTCCTGCTGCCGCAACAGAAAGCAACGACGAGCATGCTATCCGACGGTGGTACCCCAAAATCGATAACGATCCCCCTGCTCGAGGGAGAGCAGCAGGACTCGTTCCTGGAGCTCGTCGGGACGCCCGAGATGCAACGGCCGAACAGCATCCGAGCCCTTCTAACGCGTCCCACACGAACCGTCCACCACTACTGGAGAAAGTTCGACGACGCCTTCATGCGTCCCGTCTTCGGCGGCCGCGGCTTCGTCCCGTTCGTCCGAGGCTCTCCCACCGAGCGTAGCTCCCATGACCTTACCAAACCCTAAAGCGTGTTCCACAAGAAATATATATACACACATATATATATATTTGTGTAATTAGCATTTGTATTATTATTTGTGATCGCAAGAATTGGGAGCTTTTTGTCTTGGTTGGCGTCTGAAGTGTTTTTTGAGACATGGGGAATTGGGAACTTGGGGGGGGGGGGGGGGTATATTTTTTGTGTTGTAACTGCATTCATTACACATTTCGAATTTGTTGAATGATTGGTTACCGGTTCAAACCGGACCGGTCTGTTTTTGGTCAGGATCGGACTTTCGGTCCGTTTTTGTTGAAAGTTTTTTATGTAATAAAAACCTTTGGGTTTGATTTTTATGCTTGAATTTTTTTTGTCGTCTTTGTTATATTCAAAGCGTTGATATATACTGAATTTCAAGAATTTTTTGTGGAGAGTCTGTAGACTTTCTTTTTTCATTTCACAATAAAAAACGTTATTTTGTTTTTGCATTAATGTTTTAGATGTAGCGTTGTAGAAAAGCCCAATACGGCCCAAATGGTATCAGAAAAATAATGTAATAAGGGGCCCATTATTCCATTTTTGGGGCCCATATCAAAAGTGGCGTTGTTTGAACGACGGCGTTTTATGCGGCAGTTATCTCGGGGGGAGAAAATGCTATAAAGTACACCCAGCTCCTTCTCAGCTTCACGCTCTTCGTGCTCTCCGCCATCTCTCTCTCTATCTCACGAACAGATCTCTTGCAAGTAGCGAAAATGGCGACCACTTCCTGCGCCTCGATTTCCATGCAAGCTCCTGTCTCGGTACGTCTCTTCTCCTCCTCCTTCTTCTTCCAAAGATTTGCGTGGGAATGGTCTCACGGTTCTCGTTTTCCGCGATGTCTCGCTCGTATTTTCCAGATCGCATGCTTCGATCCCATCGTTTCTGTGTTCTTCATTCGAGAATCTCGATGCTGTTTTGTGTTGTGTGTGGAGAATATAAGATCTTAGTTTCTGGTATCGTTCTTGTTCTGAGTTTTTGCGTTAGATTTCGTTCGATCACGATCAGACGGGTTTTCAAATATAACCTGTGGTTTCTGGGGAAAAATATTTCAGTGTTGTGTTGTGATTTAGATCTCCGATATTTAAGTCTGACGTATGGGAACCAATGGTAATTTTGTTTTCTGCATTTGCTTACTTTTGTTGTTATTGAAAATTTTCAGGTGTGAGTTTTGGTTTAGATATGAACAAGCATTTGAATCATCATTGTTTTGTGTTGTTGAAAATGTATGACTGAATGAATGCTTGTCCTTGTGAATGATGAACAGGTATCAGCTCGCCAGAAGCCGGTTTCAAGTTTCAGCTTTGGGAAGACAAATCTCTCCTTCAACCTGCATCATCGGAAGCCCGCTCGTCTTGCAATATCTTGCGCGGTACCTTTTTGCTTTGCTTTCGTTATGCTATTCGTTTGATTCACGTAAACTTACAGAATGGTTTTCTCCGGTTAGGCCACACAAGAGACGGTGGAGAAAGTGTCTAAGATAGTGAAGAAGCAGCTGTCCCTTGCAGACGATAAACAAGTGACCGCCGAGACCAAATTCACCGACCTTGGAGCTGATTCTCTCGACACAGTAATTCACACCACACGCTACTCGTCATCATCATAACGTTGTGTTTGAATTCTTGATTCTTGCCATGAACGCGTTCTGGGTTTCTGTAGGTTGAGATTGTGATGGGTCTCGAGGAAGAGTTCGGAATAACAATGGCGGAGGAGAGGGCACAGAAGATTGCAACAGTGGAGCAAGCTGCAGAACTCATCGAAGAGCTCGTGAAGGAGAAGGGTGCTTAGTGGAAATAAAACCCACCCACCAAAAAAAAAATCCAAAGAAGAGAGAGTTCAAAAGCTATGGCCTTTTGTCGTTAGGCGGCTCTCATGGTAATGTTTCTCGTTTTGTAGCGTCTTTTCTAACCGAGTTTTTCGAACTGCATGCGTCTTTGTTGCTTTCCTTGCGTTGTTTCCATCTCCGTCCACCTAAGACCCTCCCTCTCTCTCAATAAATTATGACATTATCATTTGAGACGTTCTTTCAAATTCTCTATCGTACTATTTCAAACCCGTAAAATCCAGCAGATGACGATCTTAAGATCTCCGTGTCATGTCACGTGAATGAAATCAGAGAAACACTGCAGAAACGTAAGATTCTCTTGTGGGTTTTCAAGATTATTATTGATACTAATTTGGCTTCTTGTTTTTTTACGCACAAGTCGGATGACGGATCAAAATGCATGCACGATAAATTTGATTAAACCGACCTGCGTACGCCAAAAGTGTTCACGGAAGCTGAATGTTGCACATTTTTATTTAGAAAACAGAGCGAGTAGATTTACAATTACACGACAGATTCTTAGCTTCTTCTTACAAAGGACTAAACCGATGACTACTACAAAAAAGACAAGAAAAAAAAAGGAACAGCATTTCATGATCTCTGGAAGTCGTATACGCCATTCTATGTACAGATCCATGTGTACATCAGAAGATCAACATTGTCACCTCTCTTGTCATATCATTCCCAATCATCGTCGAAAAACCCTGCATCCTTCATCTCCGAGTAGTACACATTCTCCAAGTTCAGATCTTCCTCCTGTGAAAAATCAGACCAAATTTGGTTCACCAACAACTTTTAGCATCATCAATCTATACTGAGATGGGTTGTATCAGAGATTTACCTGGAAAAAGTCTGCAAGAAAAGTAACATACAGAAGAGGAAGATAGAAGGCATGGTAGCAAACACTCGCGATCCCATATAACCTGCAAATGTTTCAGAGTTTAGCCACGGGGCGGGGTTCTATCCATGTGGAAGTTTTGGGATAAGAATTACCAGAATCCGAAGCTAGCCCCATTCGCTGTAAGTGCACATGCGAATAGAGAGAATCCGTTTAAGGCAAACATGATCGTTACGTACTTGTAGAATGCAGGTCTTGCTGTGGAAACGACATAAGATAGATTTATGGTTAATAAAATCAAAACCAGTGTGCATGTGAAAACATGGAGACGGCAGCATTTGATCAACTTACCCGGTAATCTTTCTCTCCACTTAGAGTTGTACATGAAAAATATCATCCCATAAACACCTGTGAGAAGCAGCTTGTGGATGACCCATAAGCCCCATTTGAACTTTTGTATATTTTCAGCATTGTCTATAAACAATGGCACGCCGAACCCAAAGAGATAAATTGCCTGAAAGGAAGAGCAAAAACCCAGGACTTAGGCGATGGTTAAAGATCAGAAACTGAAAGTTTTGCAGCACAAAGTTCAGTTATACAGAACCAAGCTCATCATGAAAGGCTGTGGACATGCCAACTGTCAAATTGTCAATCAAAAAATGGTCAAAATATTTGGTTCTTTGTCAAGGTAGATGGACAGATAAGAAGTACAAACAAGTTGCAATTATGAAAAAGACGATACCTTGAAGAACAAATCAAGACCTACAATAAGCCCTGAGATGAGAAATGTCCGTGTTAGTGTTTCCACTCCGCTCGCATAGTTCCCTTTGAAGAGAAATGCCACCAAGCTTACTTCAAGAAACAGCATTCCTGATGTTGTGAACAGAGATAATAGATTCCAAACTACTTCCTTCCCAGGAGTGCATTCCCATGCCTAAAACAGACAAAACAAGTTTAAATAAAACAGGAACCATGGATCCTTGTTACTGGCGAGATACAAGATTTTCAGATGTAAAAACTAAAGCCCAAACAAGTCAGATAGACTCAGACGTTAGAACCAGTTAAAGACAAAGGATTTATTACATGCGGTTCTTCAACTAACCCTTCAGACAACAGAGGATGATTGTTCAGTGGTAACACCTAGCTTAAGAAAACACCACAGAATGACCGTGCACGATGAGAATGATGAATCTAAACACCAAACTTCATGGGAAAATGGGTCTTTTTCCAAGGAAAACTTCACAGACATCATACATCTAACAATCCCCTTCAGAAACTCAATCAAGAGTCCTACAACGGAAGAAAAGCATCAAAGCTCGTTCATATCTACATAAGACGGTTAAGGCCAGTGTCCTCCAAATGTATCACCGTCTCCAACCCAAGACCTATTCATTCCCATTGAAAGATCTGAGACAAACAACGGTTACGAGCTGACAGCAACTAATCCTCCCAAACTAATACAATTTTATCATCTGAAATGCAATTCCCATGAAGAATTCAAGACCAGTACGTTTCTAGATTGAGTTGTAGTCAGCAGAAGAAGTGTAATAAGTTTATCCCCAAGACAATCCAGGAATCAGAGTTCTACAAAGCTGACCAAAATAGTCGCCACAGATGCCCAAAAAAAAAAACCAAAGTTCCGGTCTTTCGTACGCGAGATTAACCATAGAGTAGGATACGATCACTCGAGAACTGAATCGTAGACGAAGGTCAACGAACCTGGAGACAGCACCAAGCAAGATTGAGTAAGCTAACGATCCAAAGACACCCGTAATAAGCGATCATGATGTAAGATCTCCGACTCGACAGCTTCGACAAGCTCTTCTTCGCCTCGTACACCAAATACGCAACGAAGAGAAGAGAAGCCGCGACAAGAACCGTGTTATGGAAGAATCCATGGCACCTGTCGACCCACTCGGCGATAAATCCGCCGTCTTCCCCTCCGATCGCCGTCGAATTAGGGGTTAGCCGTGAAATCGAAAACGGAGACTCCGCGATCTCACCAAGAACTCGCATTTCAGCAATGTTACGAGTCAAATAGCAAGAAGAGCTAAAGGAAAGACGAGAACAGAAAACCCTAATTCCAGAAGAATCTCGAGATTGGAGAGGGCTCAGAAAGAAGCTTCGTTACGTATGATCGTATTCCCGGGCCTTGCTTGATCAAATCGAGACGATGTGGCGACTAATAATAATTATTTTACAATTACGGGGTTCTTATGAAAATACATTAAATAAAGGGTAGGAAAGTATAATTAAGAGAAATAAGAGTCCTTTCAAAAAGCTGACCGTTAAGAGAGCCGTCGCTATTTATGGCTAAACGAACGGATCGCTTGAGAGAAATATCCGCTCCAAAAATGGCGATTTTGGTCATGGGTTTCGTTGTTGAAAATTTCCTGGAAATTTCTGTAGAATCGAACTTGGCAGAGAATTCGATTCACGCTTATGAGCTTTTCCTCGCAAATTCTTTGTTGAAACCGGTACTCTTGAAGGATCGATTGCTGTAAGTTCTTGATATGGATTCCGCTTCGGATTTTCGTTTCCGATCGAATCTGTTAGGATTGATATTTTGATTGTTGGTCTTCTCTTCCTGCAATGTTCTAGGGTTTGAGATGGATTCGTAGGAGAACAGCTTTGGTTGCTAATGGATTATTGGAGATGATTCATCTGAGAATTAGTCGTCACGTAATTTTTTCTTCTCCTTTCTGCTTCTATATTTATATATGAACGAATTTCTTCTGATTTATAGTCGAATTTTGTAACTTTTCGTCGAATCTTCATCCTCACTGGTCATGATATATTCACATGAACTAGGTTTCGGGCACAAATGGTTGCTGAAGCAGCTTCACTCTGAGAATCAACCCTAAATTCAAGATTTAGTGAAATCTAATTTATAGTCCAAATGAATTAGCTTTGATTGATATTCATTGTTCAGATGATCATCATTGGCAATTGATGGAGAACACTAGGCTCGCCCACGTGAGGAGGAAGAGCTCGATCTTAGAGAGTTCAGAAGCTCCCTTATCTCCAGTGATGTCTTCTCCTCTGACTAACCGCCATGTACGGTCAGGATCAGCTGCTGGGCCAGGAATGAGCGTCAGGAAAGCACAGACGAAAGCAGCCGCTCAGAGGCTTGCTGCCGTAATGGCGCACCAAACGGGCGATGAGGACGACAGCGAGGATGACCTTTCCTTTGATTACAGTGGTGGCGGCACAGGCAGTGTAGGACTGACCGGCGTAAAGTTCGTTCCTTCTGGGGCTCCTGTGGTAACGCTCTGTAACACACCTGCTTTCGTAGGATGCAGAGGAAATGATTAACATTGTTGTTGACTTCACAAGTAGCTCTGGTATATTTTATGTGCAACGATGAGTTTGATCTTTTTTATCTAAATTATCGCCACATGATATCTTCAGGACATGACTTTAGTCGCCAAAACAAACTGAAGGCAAATAGACCAACAATGTGTCCCGGAATTGCATAAGTCACTCTAGTGATTTTTCAAGATGTGACACACTCGCATCTCACTATGGCTTAAAATTGGTCCAAATTTTCTCGTTAAGATCTTGATTCTCGCATTTGCCCTTCAGCAATGAAAATATTCTTTGAGAAGCTGCTCTAAGTATATGATTTTTTTTCTGCTTTCTGATTCTATTATGTTTAGTTTCAGAATAGACCAACTCATCCGAAGCATCCACACATGAAAACTCCATTACCAATTGATGAAGACAATGAAGACAATGATCTTTCAGTTGATTATACAAGCGGCAGACAAAGTATTGGGCTTGCTGGTGGAAGGGCAATAAGACCTCAGTGTCCTGTAGTGGTGAGTGTTAAAGTTCATTTTCGTGCCAAATTTATCTTTACTCTCATATGCTAATCTTCTCTTCCACACAGACAAAAGCTGCTCCCCAGAGACATCAGCAGATGAATTTTCAACAGACATCCACTGAGGAAAATAAGGATGATGATGATGATGATGAGTTTTCAGTCGATTATGCAATTGGCAGACCAAGTATTGGGCTTGGTGGTGGAAGAGCAACGCGACCACAATCTTCTATGGTAGTGATCCTTAACTGAAGCTTACTTGATCTGTGTTGTCTGTTTCTCTGAGGTCAACCATAATTTGACTTTCATATGTACTAAAATTTGGAATGCACAGAGCAAAATTCATCCTCAGGGGCGACTGCAAACAGTAGTTCAACAGCCAGGCGATGAAGAAAATGAAGATGATGACATTCTTGACGATTATTCAAGTGGCATTCCAGTTGTAGGACTTGCTGGTGGAAGGACAGCCCGGACGCGCTCTCCTGTGGTAATTAGTTTTTTTAATACTATGGACCAAATCTTGCATATGTGTCTCGGTTAAAGATGTATCCCGGTCCTTGTTGTTTTCTCTCAAAACTTCATTTTATTTTTCTATGTACCATGCAGACCAAAATCACTCCAATGAGGAATCGTCAAATGATAACTGAGCAACCGGCTGATGAAGACAATGACGATGATAATTACAAGTCATATAACTATACCAGTGGTCGGCCGAGTATAGGACTTGCAGGTGGACGGTCAATGAGATCCCACACTCCTTTGGTAATTCCCTTTAGATTTCCACATATGCCCCGATATATCGAATTAATGTTTTACACATCTATATCTCTACTATAGAATTAATTTTTTTGTTCAATTTAAATCTTTACTGTGATTTTAATGGTCCTCTAAAACTTCATATACTTTCCATTAGTCAGTTCGTACCAAAGAAGAACCACCTCAGTCTGGACTTCCAACTTCAGTTAGCCTACCATCGGTATCTCAGGAATACATAGAACAACCGTCTTCAGCTCTTTCAAGTCCGGCACGCCATGCTTCTCAAATAACCAACCAAGCTGAGCAACCTCCATCTGCTCGTTCTATAGGTTCAAAAAGATCATCACAGTCCCTTGGTTCTATGGATCAGCTTACATCAGCTCGTTCTCCATTCAGTGGACGTCCAGTGAAAACTGTTCCTTTTATGCCTTCTACTGTGCCTATATCGCTCAAGCCAGTAACTCCTGTACTTCAAACGGAGACGCCTACTAGTCTTCGTAAAGATAAAAGGTAGTTGGAATTATAGCTTATCTAAATTTAAATTAATAAGGCATAAAAGCAGGTTCACTTGGCCATCATGCTTTGTTCCTCTCATTATATCTCATGAGAGCCTTCTGCTCATTTTACTATACATATACTATCCAATATCTCCCTTGGATTTAACAAATGAAAACAAGCATTATATCTTGAAAAACTGCAATGAATTCTCTGCCACAAAAATATTTTCCAGATGGATACGCTTGCATCTGGTAACTGCTGCATATAGATTTTCCCAATATATCATTTCCAAAGTGGTAACCAATCGGTGGTTTCTTCAACTGGCAGATTTTCCCTAGATTTTGGAAGCTCAAGCAGCCTGAGAGAGGAGTTAGGGAATCAACAATCTGCTTCTGCTTTGCAAGATGAGGTTTGACCTCCTTAAAATCTCATTAAATTGCTCTTGAAGTTCATAAACTATGTTTCTTATAACTGTCAACCTTTGGGATTTTTGTTCTCACATGAGTGGTTATGACATTTTGATGATTGTTCAAATTCATCTTTTCTTGTTTGGGCTGATATATTCTGAACTTGTTGGCTACAGCTTTCCATTTTTTTAATGTTCTCTGTTCAAGGGGCTTGTTTTTGTGACAGGTTGATATGCTACAGGAAGAAAACGAAAGTCTATTGGAAAAGGTGATGCGACTAAATTTTCACACTTGGTGTTAGTAGATGTTAGGTCCTCAAGTTGATTTTATGGTATTTCTATTGGTATTCTGGTAATTTGTTGACTGAGGCAATTGATGAAGTTCCTCACAAGATCTATAATGTTCCATCCCAACAAATGTGTTTAAACAAGAACTATCAACTGAGATCAACGCCATTAATTGGACACAACAAAGAATATATGTTATCTCTGTCTGAACTTGGCAAGTTAGAGTATTACATATTGCCCTCAATTTATGTTCAGTATTCCAATGTTCCGGTTCCATACATAGTAATTTGTGCATCGCCAGCTTCGACTTGCAGAAGAGAGGTTTGAAGAAGCCGAGGCAAGAGCTAAGCAACTGGAGAAACAGGTATACTTTTGCTGGATACATGAGTAGAAAAGTAAAGACGATTAGTAACTCGTGAAGTCTAGAGTTGTAGCAGTGTTTCCAGATACCAGTTTGGAAGAAATCCACATGTTACTATTATGAAGTATATATGACACATTTATTTACAACTTTGCATTTATCAGATTTCGATTGAATATTTCACCCATGTTCTCTCTTATAATTAACCTTACCTGTCAATGTTGTTATTCATTTTTTTAGCATATTTTGTTTGCCTTCGAGCTATACCATATGTTAAACTAAAACCACTTATGTTAGGTTGAAATTCTTGGAGAAGGTGTTACGTTGGACGCTCGTCTTTTAAGCAGGCAAGATTCACATTTATGCAACTTTGGAATGGCTTTTGGCATGAACTAAATTTGTGCAAGTGTTTTCTTGTTGCAGAAAGGAGGCTGCTCTTCAACAAAGAGAGGTTTGTGCTACTGGTGCACTGCATGGCTGTGCTACATTATCTCTTGGATAATTGCTTGGCACGTGCATTATTGTTTATCGTATATCTACTCGATCTCTTACATCATCTTGGGTGTATGTAAATATGTCCTACCAAATCCACCTGTTGACTTTTGTGTATTCCATTCTTTGGCTACGTCTGCTAAGGCTGAAGAAATTTGTCATCTGAGCATAATAGCACTCTTGTGCATCTCTTTGAACTATCACATATGCTAAGGAAGTTTTCCCAGTTGGATGATTTTCAGGGGAAACTAAATTCTGTCGAATCAGTTACATGCTGACAGATGAAAATTAACTTAGTCCCCAGCAACACTTTCTTTTCAGGCTGCTTTGAAAGTCGCAGCACAAACTCATGGAGGACAAAGTGGGAACATTTCCGCTCTTCAGACAGACGCTGAGGTACTTCAGTTTATGTATTTGTCTTCTTGATTTGTTCATGATGCGCTGTGATTGTAAAATTTCCCAAGAAATAGTGCCAATGGTATCTGAAGTGATATTTAACTTTTATTTGAGTAATGGTTCAGCTTGCTAGGGATGAGGCAACATCTGCTCTGGAGCAGCTTCATGAAGTTGAATCAGAACTAAAGTCTATTAAGATCATGACAAAGAGACTGCTACTGACTCAGGAGGAGATGGTAAGTTGTCGATTAATGATGCATAGTTTTTATTTTAATCCTGGTTTTTTAGTCAATAGGGTGTCATCTATTGTTCTTTGTGTTAGGAAGAGGTCGTTCTGAAGAGATGTTGGCTTTCATGGTATTGGAGCTTATGTGTACGACATGGTAATTGTGCTCTTCTCAGATTATAATCAGCTTAGGTATTGAGGATATTTGTGTTATGTAGTGAATAAGGAGGGTTCAACTGCAGATTCTTTGCTAGTTTCTGAATTATAGCTGGCAAAATGTTTCGGCAGGTATTCAACCAGATATCGCTGGAGCAAAACATGAATACTGGTCATCTTTTGCACCTCTTCCTCTTGAGATTGTTCTGTCTACAGGACAAAGGGCTCAGGAGGGGTTTTCTTCGAGTAATGTTTCATTCCGATGCATTCCATTATTTCACATGAAACTGTTTTGAAGTTATTCGGATCCTTTGCTGTATCCATTCAAAAGCGAAGCTTATCTAACTTGTTATTGAGCAGGAGGTAACACCGACGATGAAAGAGAGAAATCATTGCAAAATTTGCATGAAATTTCTGGAGAGGGAAACATCGAAAGCATGTTATTGGTCGAGAAAGGGTTAAGGGAAATGGCTTCACTGAAGGTATAAACTAACATAAGAACTCATCAGACTGGTGTCACCCTTTTCGGAAATTAAGGTGTGTAAAGGTTGACAAGATGATAGACATTGGAGTCTTTTATTTTTCCTTGTTTCTTATCTGAAGGTCCAGGATGCAGTGGCATTTGCTATGGCTCAACAACGACGACGAGCATCACTTAAAATTAGTAATACAGGTAATCTGTCACTTGAAAATCGTTTACTTCACCTATGTTGTGCTTTCTTGGATTCATCAATGTTGAGCTTCCATTGAGTAGTAACATGTACGTCAAACCAAAATTCAAAGATCTCGCCACTTATTTCCGTGTCATGTTCTGTGTTATATCTCCTTTAAAAAAAACAGTGTTAAATTGTATGAAGTATTATAATTGGTTATCTAACTCGTATCTTTTGCCCCCGCTTTTCATTTGAACTATTGGTAGATGATGTGAAACTTCCTGCGGATGGACAGTGCGAAGCCTTTGGTAAGTGCACGAACTTTTTACGCTGACAATGCTCTCATTCATGAAGCCTACACGTTAATAAAACACGTTGGAGCACTTAAAATGTCCAGATGCTTTGAAATGATTAATTTCCATAGAACAAAATTAGCTTCTTCTTTTTTTAAAAAAACTTATATGGCACATCTTACATGTCAGATTACGCCTTGATTGTGATAAAATGTATTGGAAGAGATCAAATCTTTTTCCACTCTTCTGAATAGGCAGTGCAATCACATCAGATATGCTTTGCGCTATCGTGATTGGGCTCTAATACGGTCATATGGAACATCTGGTTGTGTAAAAATAGGCGGCTATCACGCCAGATTTCACACTACAAAGGAGGGACAAAGTCTAGAGATTCCTTGCTCATCTTTCTTCTGTGTTTCTGTTTGTATGATGTGAACGCGTGTTTGGTTTCAGGGTTAAGTGAGGAGGAAATGGAAGATGTTCGGTTTAAACAGGTAGAATCGCTGCCTTGGTGTTTTGCATTCCTTATTTATCTTACTATCACCTCGAAATTTCAAGACTTGTTGTCGTTGTGCTTGCCACAGGCATGGCTTGCGTACTTCTGGAGAAGAGCGAAGAACCACGAGATCGAACCTGACATAGCAGACGAGCGTCTGCAGTATTGGATATTCCACAGCTCTCGATCTTCCTCATCGCAAGATGCAGTTGACGGTACTCTTGGCTCCCTCTTTCTTTTGCACATACTTCATCTCCTTATGCTTCCAATAATATAATGCTCAAGATGATTTTTTTTTTCCGTGAATTTCGATTTTTGCTACGATATCTGCACGAACAAAACACGTATCAACAAGAGTTATGTAGAGATATTTTCATAATATATGTGTAGTGTGTGTGTGTGTGAATTTGGGCAGTTGAAAGAGGGCTGGTGGAGCTGAGGAAGCTGAACATAGAGTCACAGCTATGGCAGAAATCAAGAAAAGGCCTCGACCACGAATCCAACCCTTCCTCTCATCTCGAACATTCCTTCTAACCCAAACAAACAAACAAAGAAAACTCGAAACTTCCCCCAGTCAGAGACTTATCACAATCTCTCTCCCTCTCTCTCCCATCAAAATGGTGAACTCTCTCGTATTATCCATCGATCTCGTGTTTGTTTCTGCTAAAAAAAGTTTTTATCTTGGACTTGTGTATTAAATTTGATGATGTTACTTTACTATGTTCATGTCTCTCGTGGTCTTAAATTGGATGGTGGTGATCATCTCCTTTTGTGTGTTTTGCGTTGTAAGATTTGATCTTATGAACAACTCTCTACGTGATACTAACATGTGTAAACCCTTTGACATCATGTAAGATGCATATACGAGTAGTTGGAACACGTTTTATATCTCTCTATTGCAGTAATCGATCCATCTGAATGTCATACATGCCTGTGAATTTGAAATGTTAAGATGACATGGGTGCCATGAAAAATAAAAAATAACTTTTTAAAAAAATAAAAATAAAAAGATTCGTACAAACTCAGTCTTATTTAAATTTGAGGTTTAAAAAGAAAAAAAAATGAAAAGGAAACTCGAAATGAGGATTTGTACCGGACATGGGAATCGGATTGATGTAAACCACGTATCAAAACCGAACCAATACCCGGTTTGCATGTGCACTTGAACCAAAATATAAGGGTCACTTCACTACATGGTAAACTATTGAACTTCTTTAGGCATTCTCCTCTGATTTTTTCTCTGCCATTAGATCAGAGTCAGAGCTTCGACCGGTCGGAGAGAGAGAGAGAATGGGGAGAGAAGTGGCGGAGAGCTGTGTGGATACTCTGTTGACGGAGACGGTGTCAATGTACTGCGATCGCTTCTACGCTAACAAGCCGGAGCTCGCCGCCCGGAGAATCGAGGCCATCGGTTACCAGGTTGGCCACCAGCTCTCCGAGAGGTTTGTTCTTCGCCTTCTCTTGGATTCTCCTCTGTTTTCTCCAGCTATTTTCCCGCTGATTGCTCGGTAGGAACCTGTTTGCAGGCCGTAGTGATGGTTTTAGATCTGAGGTTGATGTGGGTTTTGATTGTTACGCGGTGATAGGGGGTTTCGATGCATTGATATGTTGTTTCGCGCTTGCAATTCCGTGTGTTTGGTTTCCGATAAAGTGTGGGAGTGTGAAATATGGAAAGACAAGTCCCGTGATTTGCATAATCTAGGTCAGAATTTGCGCTTTGCATTTCCCTGGAGTTTTGGAGCGGATGAACTATAGTAGAATTGTAAATTTCTTGCTTAATTTGGTCCTAGAATGAAGTGTAGTACTTATCACATTTGCAGATTTTGCTCTGCCTCTAGGAATTTTAACTGGTTTTGTTTCTTAATATTTTACATTCCATTTCTGGAATGTTGATCTAGACGAATTCGCCCCCGCTTAAGAATTTGTAATTTCATGATCGGTGGCAATGAACTTGCAGTTTCTGCTTCTGCTGGTTTTCTTGGTTAAAAAACTGCAGCGAAAATCAGAAGCTCTAAGTTCGATGTGGCCTCTCATTGCTCTTTGACTTGCAATGTCATCTTGAGGAAGTCTCCATATCTCATCGGTCTATGAAATATTTCCCAGAATTATGACTCTATATGTTCATATAACTTGTGATTTAGTATAAATACCATGGAACATCCAGTTTCTGCTTATGTGAAGAAGACTTATCATATTGACTGGATTAGAATCTGTTGCTTCAGAAAGAAAGTGTATTGCCACTTATGGCAATTTTACCATGCTGTATGGCCAAGAAAAGAAAGCTAAGTTGAGAATGTTGCAACTTGCTTGACTGTGCGTAATAGCAAGGTCTTTTCTATTAGTAGATACACAATGGAAAGGCCGAGGTTCAATGACCATCTTGAGGCAATCAAGTTCATCTGCAAGGACTTCTGGTCTGAGGTTTTCAAGAAGCAGATAGACAACTTAAAGACAAATCACAGGGTAAGATTTTTTTAAAATCTTGAGTGATGGAGATGCAACTGTGAAGTTCTTCTGAGTGAATGATATTCTTGTGTTTTCTCGCATGTTTGTTCTTCAGGGTACTTTTGTATTGCAAGACAACAGGTTCCGGTGGCTATCACGTGTTTCTCTTGACCCTTCTTCGTCTGAGAAGGAAACTGAAGATCTTTCTAGCTCAGGGGAAAGCAAGGCGGCACAAGCAGTGAGCATGTATCTGTATTTCCCTTGTGGAATCATAAGGGGTGCCCTCTCAAATTTGGGAATCCCTTGTGCTGTGTCCGCCGACATATCAAACCTTCCTGCATGTGAGTTCCATACTTCCCAAATCATTATCAGTTTTTTTGTTCTTTCTTTTATAATCTTGATTCCCCAGAACCTAGCATCAGTGCATGTTAGTCCAAACAAGAAAATATTTGCTGTTGATATTTGCCTACAATGGCGCTTACTGGGACAAACACTCTGGGAGAAAGAGAGGAATCTCTTAAAATCCACTTGTATTGTTCTATCAAGCTCAACATCTTCTGATTCCGGGATTTCAGTGTGAACTAATTCTTTGGTTGCATTAGTTATCCCCAAAATCTCGATCTGTGCCATTCTCAGAACTGATCATTTGTCGTTCACAAACCATCTTGATTTCTTGGCTATCTTTCTTACTGTACTCGCAGGTTCTTTTGTGGTTCGGGTCAAGGCCTGATTTTGCCTCCTCCTCCAAATATATATATTTCCCGATGAGAACGACTGTCGCTGCTCGTGGGGCTCCACTCCAGTTCTGGTTTCGGTTTTGGTTTCGGTTTTGGTTTCAGGGTTGCAAAGAATGTAAGATTCTTTGGCTTTCTGAATGTGTGCCGAAGTCACTGTAAAAATTTTGGTATGCCATACCCTAACTTGGCAGACTGTTCTTGCCTTTTCAAGTTGCCTTGGACGGCAAGAAATAAGAAATGGTGTGGTAAAGCTGTGCTATGTCAAAAATGATATATTAGAAGATCAGGAAAAGTTTTTTTCTTTCTTGTTAATGAAGATCAGGAAAAAGGTTTTAAAGTGTGAATCTGTTTTTATCTGTTTAACTTTAATGATATATATAGATATATCAGTAATTTATCTTACAAGTTTGAAAAATTACTAATCCATACATATGCACATATATATACATATATGACTTGTATCATATATGATTTAGTTTGTTTTTGTGTTGTGTGCTGCTCCTCTTGGCTCAATTATTGAATGATGAATTATGGTAGCCTGGAGGCTGGAGTCCAGACTGAACACCACACAAAAGGAAAGTCTGATTTGTTTCTGACAAATATACCTTTAAGTATAAATAAGTATAAATAAGGAAATGAAGCACATGCCCATATCTAGGTTGTCAGTTCTACATTGATATAGGTAAATATTCGTCCATTTGAAAAAAAAGGTAATTTAACAGTTAATCCTGTGTTATTTTATTGACAATATATTATGATTTTTTTTAACTAATACTGTTAGTGTTAAAAGTGTTTTTTTTAGATTTTGTGAATCAAGTTTTATGGTAATAATATATTTTCTATAATCAAATTGGTATCTAAATAAGTTTGATGGAAAAAAGAAGGGTATTTGGTCAAATGAATTTAAAGCAAATTCCATATTTGTTAATAAAATGCATTCACTTGTTTCTTTTCACCTCCTTAAATGAATAATAATTAAAAGGCCATTATGAGGCCGTGCATTATTGCCATACATAAATTCATATTTATATACCAGATTCCTTTTTTAAATCAAAACCCATATTTCGCTTTTTTGGGCGCAGATTCATATTTCTTTTTTTGGTTTTTGTTCTTAATATTTCCTTGAGAGAGGAAAAAATATTTGCGGAAATATTTAAATAAACAGCCATAAATATGGATACTATACCCCCATAAATTGCTCAATTTTCTCTCTGTCCTCCATAAGAAACGAAAAGACAGTTTCTCCCTTCTTGTACAGTTTCTCTTTTCTCTCCGTCTCTCTGGTTTGTTCTCCTGTGTTTCTTTCGCTTTGGCTCCTCAATTTCTACTCTCTGTTTATCCCTTTCTGGGTTCCTCATTGTCGAATTTCTGTCCCTTCTCTGGTGGGTTCCTAATTGTTGTGTTTGTTACCCTTCCGTTTTCCTTGCCAAAGAAGGAAGACGGGAAGCATGGGTGAAATTAGGGTTTCGGACGGGTTCGGACTCGCCGGGTTGAAGAGAAAGTTTAAGGATTTGGAGAGTAGTTACGATTCGGTTGAATCGGAACTCCGACGGAAGTGTAGGTAATTGGAGTTGAAGGAGAAAGAGTGGGGAACCAAAACCTTAGTTTTTGAGGCGAGGGCTTTGAAGATAGAAGCCGCAGAAGTCGAAGCCGCTGTTTGGAAGAAGAAATCCGAGGGCTTTAGGAGGGAAGTTGAAGCGAAGCAGACAGAACTGGGTTTTCTTCGAAACCAGGTTGAAACATGTGTCGGCGAGTTCAAGTCGGAGGAAACGAAACTCGCTGAGATTAGGACAATGATCAAAGGTTGTGAGATGGATCTGTGCTCGAAGAGCAAACAACTGGCTGCGATGCAGGAATCGGTGGAGGAGACTCGAGGAGAACTCGAGTTGAAGGAGAAACAGTTGAGAGAGACGAAGACTGACCTCGCGAGGTGTTGTGATGAGGTGGACGCGGAGAAGGAGAATCTGGGTAAGATTCAAAATGATGCTAGAACTTTGAAAGAGGAATCAGACAAGAGACTGGCAGATCTCACTCTGGTGCTTGAGACACAAGTTAGATGTAATAAGCAGCTAGCTTTTGCGGAAGAAAAGCTAGCTTCTTTGCAGAAATTGCAGGAGATACGGTCCTCGGAGTTACGGTCAAAAGAGATGGAGTTGGATGCTGTGAAAGAATCTGTAAGAAGCTGCAATCTTGACCTCGACTCGAAGAGGAAGGAGGTGGCATCATTGGAGAAGTCGGTTAGGGAATCACGTGAGAATCTTGATACGAAACGTGCCGAATTGGGCGAAATCCAGAACTTAATCGACGAACAAACGCACGAACTTGCAGTTAAGCTCAAGCGCCGTGATTCGATCGAGGAGTTGATCCGGAAAATCACTGAGGAGCTCGCTGCAAAAGAGAAAAGACGAGAGGAGATGTCGGAGTCGCTCCGTAGTCTCTCCTCAGAAATTGAGTCTAGAGAAAAGAAACTGACCAGAACTGAAGAGACTGTCAAGAAGCTGTCGGAGAAACTGCACTCGAAAGAGAAGCATTTGGAATCAACTCAAAGACATCTACAACTGTGCACCATTCAACTCAATTCAAAGCAAAACGATTTTGATGTGTTGATGGAAATGCTGAGAAGGTCATCAATGGATCTGGAGTTAAGACAGAAGGATTTCAAGTCGTTACAGTTACACATCACAGATTATCGTACACAAGCCAACGCAATAGAGAAGAAAGTGCAAGACTTGGAGAGCTCCATTGAAGTGAAACAGGCCATGCTTAGTTCAATCAAAAGATCAGTTGTGAGCGTAACTGATGAGCTCGCATCTAAAGAGCACGAACTAAGTTCTGTGAAGATGAAGATCGAGGAGACTGTAAAAGAAAACAAGTCTAAAGAGGAGCAATACATGAGGTTAGGAGAATCGTTAAAGAAACGCGAGGAAGAACTTGTGGAGAAAGAGAAACAGTTCAATGCTTGTGTCAAAAGTTTCGAACTAAAAGAGCAACACCTGGAATCCGAACGGAGAAAGTTTTCGAAAACAGTTGATGAATTCGAGCAGAAGGTCAAGAAAATGTCTAGGTTCTGCCAACAAGGCAAAACGGATCAATCTGGAAACTCGCTAAGAAACCCAAACCCCAAAGATGACAAGAGCCTACTGTTACTCTTAAATGGGTATCTGAAGAAATGCCCTCAGCTTCATGTCGAAGTTTCAGATGCTCTTAAAGCATCTCCTGATCCAGCGAGGCTGGTGTTAGATGTGTTACAACGGCTTTATTCCCCTAGCCCAACAATCAAAGAAACAGAGATCGATGAAGATGTTGTTAGAAAGGGTTGCATCTGCTTACTGGAATGTTTAATGGCTATATCACCAGAAATCAAGCCTGGAGTGCAAGCAGAAGCTATTAAACTAGCCACCGAGTTTAAGGACAAAACTCTGGTTAAGGCAGAGAATGCAGTTGAGGTGATGGGTTTTCTGCACTTCTTAGCTGCCTTCAGTTTGGCATATGCTTTCAGCAACGGTGAACTCCAAAGCCTTTTTGATGTTGTCACTCTCCGCAGATATGCTCCGAGTTTAGTCAAGGCCCTTGGACTTTCAGCTTTAGCATCTGGTAAGTTTCTCGGTTAAAAAAGCTCGATTGTTCAATATATATAGGTTGTAGTTTCGCGTTAAAATGCAAACAGATTTGCTGACTTTTAGCACCATATCCACAACATTTAGCCTGAGTCTAGTAAATATCTAAAGGACGTTGTCTCATTCAGGTTTTATATTCATACATGTTCCTTTAAGTGTACGTGTGTTCACCTTGTGTATGTTAACGTAAATAAGTTTTGTAAGAAATTCTAAAGATGCTGCATTGGCAGCTAGAGAGAGTGCAGAGAAAGAGGAAATTTCCCCGAAAGAAAGAAGATAGAAATAAGTTTCGACAGGATCTGCATCAACAGGATGTGGTACTTTGAGTACATTAGCAAGTTTTTTTAGGTGACAACTCGGCTTTCCGAGTTGCAATCTAAGAAGAAGCATCAATTGATAGCTTCTCATTCTTATAATCATTACATGTAATGATTATCGGTGTTTTGCTTTTCACTTGCCTTGCCCAGTGGACGATGTTCTGTCTTCTGAAGATAAGTTTGGACAGCCCGAAGACATAAATAGCAACGACAATGCTGCTACTTGTTCCTTGCCCTCGGGTATCCAACTAAACCCGGAAGCATCAGAACTGGTCTGTGAGTTACGACCTCATGAAGATGCTCTAATGGACACTGAGGTCTCTGCTGCTCTCCGGTCTTCGCCCGACCCAGCAAAGTTTGTTCTTGATCTGATTCAGGAAGCATTCCGGGGAGCTACTCAGCAAGGAGAAATGACGGGCATCGAGGAGCCTGTAATGAATTATTGCAACCTCCTACTGGAAGAGCTCGTGAAAATTTCGCGGCAGATTACTCCCCATGTCCAATGGGAAGCATCAAAGCTGGCAAACCAATGGCGAGGGAGGCTGGAAACCACCAGGACTCCAACTTCATCCGAGGCTTTGGGCTTCCTTCTGCTCCTCGCCTCATTCAATTTGGTGAATTTTTTCAATCAAGTTGATATTCCCAAGCTTGCCTATTCGGTTGCTTTCTACAGATATGCCCCGAAACTATTCCAGTCCCTTGGTATCTCATCAGATGTCATCCGGGGTAGTGTTTTCTTGCTCTTCTATGACTTCTGTAATCTTACATTATACGACAGATTTGGTTCTACGCCTTATTCGAAGAGATCATTATATTCCAGCCATCCGATTGATATACTCGTATGAGCTTAACTTCCCGATGTCCCCCATGCCTCTCCTTAAGAAAGAGATTGAAGATTTGAGACAATCTACCTGCAACATACAGGTTTGATCTTTTGTTAGTTTCCATTCCATCTCTTTCACCGATGCATTTGTACTGATTTTGGTATCTGCCTCTGCTGGTTGCTTTCGGTAAGGTTAAGGGCAAAGACGCAAGGAAAATGAGAGCGATACTCGAGCTCGTTTCGGATTACAAGCTCGATATCCATCTCCCGGGAGACCTTGTTGCCAAGTTCATGTTTCAGAGGGGAAATCAAAGTCAACTTCCAATCTCGACACCTCTCCAGATGCAGACTCAGTCCGAAGCTAGCCGTGGTTCGGGTCCGAGCTATCCGATGAGCCACCGCTGCTGCTTATTATCACATCCACAAGCAGTGGGTCAAGTTCAAAACAGGGGAGGGGTAAAACGCCATAGATCTGAAACATGGGAAGGGAGGAATATGGTGAGACGGTTGCATCCACCAGGCAATGGTGGGTGTTAGATGTCACTCTTCTAGCTTTTAACTTTTAAGGTAACCACTAACAACCACTTATTAGGAATCTTGCATATATTATGAGCCTTTTGGAAGTAGTGTTGGGTTTGATGAGTTTTAAGCCTAATCTTGTCTTAAAACTTACAAAGATGGGATCTCTCCTGTCTTTGGAAGTAACAATCCCCATATATACAAGTAAATCGAGTTCTTCCACGGGTTGGTTTGGTTTTGTTTTCGGTGCTAAATAGGGTGGGTATCCCAAATTCGGGAACTCGACAAGTATGAGGTCGGGTCATTCATTGACGAAAACTTGAACCCGGAGTTTGAGTATGTGGTTTGTTGGTCGTAACCCGAAGTAGAGGGGAAAAAAGGTAGGGGTGGCTATTTCGGGTTTCGGTTCTTTTATTTTGGATTCGTTTATTTCAATTATAAAGCCGAACGATTATATAAATTTAATCGGTTTGGTTCGGTTTCGTTTTGGTTTTGTCACATTAAAATGATAACCGAACGGTTAAATTTAGAGCGGTTAAAGGAAAGTCTGATTTGTTTCTGACAAATATACCTTTAAGTATAAATAAGTATAACATTAAAAACTTCGAATTACATAATACTATTAATATTAATCTTTTAAAATCATCAATCTAAATCAAACTATAAAATATTAATCTTTTCAAAATTCTCAATCCAAATTTTAAATCTTAAATCTTTGAAAGTATTAAAAGTTTCAACCTTCACCATTTTTTATTTTTATTAATGTCAAAAAATATAATAACTTATTATATATAATATATATAAAATAAGATTTTAATCAAATAAAAAAATTAATTTTTAATTTTTATAAATTAAAATGTGCGATAGTAATGAAAATGGATGAAAATTAAAAGTGAAATTGTAAAAACATTACATAAATATTTAGAATAAAACACGAAAAACTTAATAAACTCTAATAATCGTTCGTTAACCGCGGTTATTTAGTTATTAAGCGAACCAAACTCGAATGGTTATATTGAACTTGCTCAATCGATCGGTTTTATTAAACGAATAATCGAATCGAACCGTTGTTATTCGGTTTGGTTCGATTCGATTTTTCGACACCCTTAAAAAGGATAGGGGAATATATCGTGATGCAAATTTTGTAGAACTTGTCACGAGATCCGACAACAATATATCAAACATGAAGTCAAAATTCTCTAAGTAGGCGACAAAACTGATAAAAAAAAAAACTAATCAACTTGTGATCGAAACGTTGGTTCAAAATCGTAACGAAAGTCATATATTCGTAGGAAAAAATACTTGAAAATTCTCAAACTTGTAATTTAGTGTAATATTAATTTCTGAACTTACAGGTATGTTTTTGTATTTTCGAACTTGCATTTTTTAACACAACAATTCCTGAATTTGTATTTTTTAACACAGTATTTTCTAAACTTGTATTTTTTAACACAATAATTCTTCAACTTTGCTTTGATCAATTAGTGGCATGGACGATTATGGAACTGTTAAAAAAGTTTAGGAATTATTGTATTCAAAAGGGGATATCGCCATAAAAACCCTGTACTTTTCCCAGGTCAACGAAAAAACCCTGTACTTTTTTGCTTACCAATTAAACTCTATACTTGGTATGATTAACCAATAAAACCCCAAACTTGTTAATAATTCACCGAAAACCCTCCGCGACTGCCAACTCAAACAAAAATGATGATGCGTCAATGACTTGGCTTCCAAGTTATATACACATCATCAAAATTATGACACATCATCATTTCAAACAAAAATAAATTACATAATTTATTTAAATTAATTTATATACATATAAATTCACATATATATATATATTACATATAAAATTACTTATAACTAATAAAACATACATACATATATATATATATATTATAAATTACATTAAAAATAATATATATATATACATATTATTTGTTAATATATATTGTATATATATTATTTTTTTAATATATAGTGTATATATTAGTTATAATTACTTTTCTTTTAATATGCATATTAGTTGTATATATATATGTTACATGTATAACTAATACATATACATATACATATTATTTTTAATAGATATATTATATGTGTATATGTTAGTTATAATTATTTTTATTGTAATATGTATATTAGTTATATATGTATATGTTATATGTATAACTACAATATATTACACACATAACTACAATACAATATATATGTATATTATTTTTTTTGATAAAATATATGTATATTATAACTAATACATATACATATTACAATAAAAATAATTATAACTAACACATACACATATAATGTATCTATTAAAAATAATATGTATATATATATATATTAGTTATACATGTAATATATATATATATAACTAATATGCATATTAAAATAAAAGTAATTATAACTAATATATATACAATATATATTAAAAAATAATATGTATATATATATATATATTATTTATAATGTAATTTATAATATATATATGTGTGTGTGTTTTATTAGTTATAAGTAATTTTATATTTAATATATATATATATATATATAAATTTATATGTATATAAATTAATTTAAATAAATTATATAATTTATTTTTGTTTAAAATGATGATGTGTCATAATTTTGATGATGTGTACATAATTTGGAAGCCAAGTCATTGCCATATCATCATTTTTATTTGAGTTGGCAGACGCGGGGGGTTTTCGGTGAATTATTAACAAGTTTGGGGTTTTATTGGTTAATCATACCAAGTATAGGATTTAATTGGTAAACAAAAAAGTATATGGTTTTTTCGTTAACCTGGGAATAGTACAGGGTTTTTATGGCGATTTCCCCTATTCAAAAATATAAGTTCGGGAATAAATAGTCGCATCTACAAGTTTATGAATTAATATTATACCAAATTACAAGTTCAGGAATTTTCAGGTATTTTTTCCTATATTCTTATACCAAACTAGTGATAGATAAAAAATTTGGTTCAAATTTTTTTTGAGAATCGACCATTTACCAAAGTTAGATTAGAAATATTAGTATCGTGAAGACACCATAAGTCAATGTTTGAGTCAGGTGAATTATCGTGAAGACAATTGAACTCTTTCTTGGAAGCTTCTTTGGAGTTCGCATCGTATCGCGTCATGTGGGGTTAAGCCATGTTAATGTGGGGTTGGGGTTGAGGGCAAAGGGCAGGTGAGGCGGCGAGGTGAGGCAAGGCGACATGATGGCATCAATGAGAGCTGCCAAGATCGAAGGGGCAAAAGTCGAGATGATATTAGAGTTTATGAATGGAGAGTTTTTCCATTTTCACTTTTTAAAATAGAGATTAAGATTTGAGAAACATACATTTGAGATGAGTTTTGACTCCCAATCGACTCTTAGAGAGCTTAAAGATCGAGGGCGATTTTGCCGCTTGAGGCTCGGTGCTTGCCTCGCCTTCACAGTTCTTCGTCCATTGCTCGCCTTCGTTGCATCTCGCTTGACCCCTTTGCTTCTCGAATATTTCTCTCCTCTCCAATCTCGCCTTCTTGGCACATTCTCGCCATTTCGACTCAATATCACCATCATCTTCTTTCTCACCTACTCGCTTTTGCTTTGCCTCGGGTACTCGACCACCACAAAGATACAATCGAGATACTACAATTAAGAAACGTTGAGGTTGAAGGCGAGGTTGAGTACCTTCCGAGGTTAAGTACCTTCAATAACTCATATACTTGACCTGTACCCATCCCTATTACTAAATGTATTTTACTCGCACATATGTATATACATGTATTATATATATTGTGAATATAAATTTTATTTTTTAATTTTTAATTTTTTAATGTATTTAGTATTAATTTAAAAAATGAGCATCTAAGGTGGCATAAAATTAGTGTTACGTCAACTTTGTTTGTTAGTGATTTTAGTGGTTTAACGTCGATTAGATTTTTGTTAAAATTTTAAAAATTCAGTATTTTTTTATCAAATTTAATACTTTTATTTTGTTAGAGTCGGAGAAATTCAATACTAATATGATATTTACTTCTATTTCTGTAATTCTTTTAGAATTTTCTTATATATATATATATTTATATATAGGTATATATGAATGTAATTACATGTGTATATGAGTATATATATGGGTATTAGTGGATATATAACATATACATGTATATATATGCATATATATGTGTATATATACGTGTTTATAAGCAACTATATTTGTATATATATATATATTTTAAAAATTTTTATAGGGAAAATTTAATAAAAATACATGAATTTTAAAAAGAGTACCAAAAAAATGTACCAATTTTAAATTTGACAAATAAATATACAAAATATTGAAATGTATACAAAATATCTAAATTTTGAAATTGAATGCAATTTTTTACCTATGACGACGTCATTAAGAACCGAATATGAAATTGTTTTTAATTAAAGTGCGTTAATGTTAGGTCAAATTCGTGCAAGAAAGGGATTAAACTCAATCCAAATTAACTGTAAGTAAATACACCAAATTCATAATTTCTGCACCAAATCGGCTATTTATCCAAATTTAATACGAATTAAAAATCGATACAAAATAAGGGAACTTATAAGTGAATTCTCGAAAATTTAATACGAATTAAATATCGATACAAAATAAGTGAACTTATATTTCCCATTCTCACGGTCCTTTGGGTTAGGAAATAATTTCTATATTTTTCCTTTTTTTTTGGGGTTACACAAAAAAAAAATTACTAGGAACATGTAGCCGTTGATAACCAGAAATTAGAATGATGTTTGCATATATACTTTATTTATTAATATGTTACGCGATTCTGTTTGGGTTCCGAGAAAATCTTCGCTCGTGTTTATTTTCTTCTCCCTTTCCCTCCTTTTTCTCGATTCAAACCCTAGAGCTGGAGAACGGAACAACCAGCCGTGAAATTCAAGTCCCGGAGGTGCCGATTTCTTTTTGCTATCTCGCTCGATCTAGGGTTTATGATTGATTTTTTTCCCCTGGGTATGTCAGATGACGAGGTGGAGAAGGATGAGTGGCAGTTCGGATGCTCGAGGGACAAGCCAAAGCTGCGAATTCAAGTCCCAGAGGTGCCGATTTCTTTTTGCTGCTTCGCTCAATCTAGGGTTTCTGATTGAATTTTTTTTTTCCTTGGTATTACAGACAGCGAAGTGGAGAAGGATGTGGAGTAGCAATTCGGATCCTCGTGGGACAAGCCGAAGCGTTGGAGGAATTGATTAAAAGAGGAATTGGAGTTCGATTTGGTGACGGAGATAAGGAGAGATGAAACGGAATCCGTGGAAGAGTGATTTTTGTAACAGCTTGAATCGGTTGAAGAAGCTATGGCCGCAATTCGGACGTCGGTTGCAGAAACAGAGCGTGTTTCCTGTGGTTTCTGGGGACATTCACGGAGCCCTCCCCACGACTGAGCTCGCCTCTAAATTTCCTCTCTGGTAAGCAACCACCGACAGTGTATCATCAGTCCTGCGAAGGATTATGTCTTGAATTGGAATTTGGACATGGGCAGTTTACTTGAAACCCTTGCTCTGTTTCACGTTTGTACCGACTTTACAGAATTTTTAGGATCCTTGGATGATTCGCCTTCGCTCACAGGATTCTTAGGTTTTGATTTTGATCTATTTGTCTTGAGAAAATATCATTCAGGTTAAGATTATGAATCCGGATGCTTGAAGAATGTGAACAGATCACAGACATGGGGTTTATAGGTTGTGCCACTGGAAGCAACTCTGTTGGGTTCTGTAAGATGTCTAATCATATGTGGGGAAGATGTCTCTGTTGGCATAGAGACACCGATTTGAGAAACAAGCAGCTCATTAAAGGTGAGTTCTCAAAATTCTATGCTTGATCCTAATCTTTTCAATTGTTTCTTCATGGTTCTTGATTAGCGCTAAGGTAGAAGTCATGTTCCAGGTTGTCCTGTTACCTCCCCGACAAGTGACAGGAACACATCTTTTTTTACAGAATGTGAAACACTTCCCCAATGAAAGATATGGGTCTGATATGAGAAAATCTATTGGCTTTTACTCCAAAATAAACGGATAAAAATAATCTGTTGGACTCCACTATTTTGCATAAAATAAATTTTTATGTGGTGTTTATATAAAAAAGTATTGTGGCCAACTCTTTCCATCCATAAGATTTTCTGAAAAGATCTACTTGATTTAAAATACCTGCAGCTCTTACGTATGAAAGCATATTGAGAAAGATTCAACCAGAAAGTTATCTGCTGCGCGTATACAAGCAACTTTCTGTGGCGTGCACTCTATCGTTATTCTCTTTTGGAACAGGTCAATCTCTGGTCCAATATAGTATTGAATCTATGTTCGAGTGGAATAATTTTTTTCTATATTCTATTGAGGCTTAGATGATTTTGGCATTTTGCAATTACTAGATGTTAGGATAATGAAAGACAAGATAGATACCAATTTGGACAAAACCTAGACAAGCTCCCCTGCAAGATTCGTAGTTGCATTTGTCTCTTCATTCTTCAGAGACGGAGTGGAGTTGTTTTTGTTAGTGTTCTTGTTGGTTCGCTCAGTATCACTGATCAATGTACTTGGAATATTCAGGTTTTACCTCCGCTCTGTTTCCCCTCAGCAAGTCAAAGCTTATGAAAATGCTGTTCTGTAAATTTCACCGTTGACAAACTGCAACATCCACAACAAGGGATTAAATAATTGGCGGTCAAGCAATTTATATTTTGATTGTTTAGTATCCTCCGGCAACAAGAAAAGAAAAATAATATATATATATATATGAAGAAATTGCTATGAGATAACTAAGTTATGAGACGAGTTGAGATTATTATATCGTACTATTTGTTGTAACGGGCTAGGAATGGTTTTCTACGTCCATGTTTGCAGCTGCACTATTTATGCTTTGTTGATTTTCTGTATTGAATTTATGGTGAATTTTCTCTTGGGAAAACAGGTATGGATTTAACTGTGCTTCCTTGTCCCTCAAATGGACTTTTGTTTCCTTTGTCCTGAATTTGTCTCCTATTCATCAGGTTTTGGGCATAGAGCTATTGGCCTTGCTGCTTGATCGGTATCGGCGTGAATTGGTGAAAGAAGCAAGACTCGCAAGGCTCTCGTGGGTTGGATGACATAGCGAGGTATGTGTTAGGTTTTTGTTGACTAGACTTTAACTCTTTTAATGAATACTAAGACATTGCAAACCAAAATTTTGAGATGAATACTAAGACCTTATTATACATGATGTCCCTCTTTCGCTTCCTTCTTCTACAGATGAAGAAAAAACTGAAAATAGATATACAAGTAACCAATAAAATGCATTAGCTTCTGTAAATGAAACTGTAATAATTGAAAGAGATATGTTTCCAATTTTCTAGTGATTCTTCCCAATTATGTACTTAATATCTTATCCTCCTTTGTCATTTTAGCCAGATCTATGCTCCCTTGCTTTTATATCTTTTCTTGCTTCATTATGTTTATTTTGTTTCCTCTTAGCCCTTTTATTGTATCTTCAATGTCTAATCTTCCCTTCAATAACAATAAGTGGCCTTGCATAGACTCATCGTATACTCGGTCCAAACTAGCACTCACTCAAACCCCATGGTTATGCCTTGTAAGTCTTACTCTGCTGACAGAATCTGAGGGTTTCTATCGGTTGTTTGTCGTTATGTAAGGCCTGACTAGAATGCGGCATTTGCGATTTCTGTCGGTTGTGTACGGTTGGAAAATCGATTGGTTTAATCACAATTGGTCGTAATCGCAATATAACAACAATAACGTCTTAGTCCCAAATTTATTTAGGGTGAATCATATGAATTTTTTTCTCATTCATTTCAATTTTGGATTAAATCTATAAACATTGCAAATCATGACTAACCACTCGACCAAGTAAGCCTAAGTCTATTCCTGTTCCTATTCCTATGTTCTGTATTTTTACAACCAGAGCAACTATCGACCTGCATTTTACATAATCAAACCATCTTATTTTTCCTCTCATAATTTCTCTTTTATACATACTATCCTATTTTCTCTTTAACACTCTCATTATGAATTCTATCTATTATGGTATGTTTGCATATCAATCATAATATTTCATCTCGACCACGCTCATTTTGGACATATGTTGTTCTTTCGTCACTTAATATTCACTATCATATATGAATGTAAAGTACGGTAGAATTTTCATTTCAACCGAATGGGAATCTTTTGATTGCAAAGAACCTTTATGGCTTGCTTACATTTTATCCATTTCGTTTTTATCATATGAATAACATCATCATCACAACTCTCATCCTTTTAAAAGATTGAACGAAAATATTTTAAATATAGATTCTGATAAGGTTCTGAGTCTTCAATCAGCTCCAGAAAAAAACTCCAGTAGCTTTATTGATCACCAAAACCATGTACAATTCGGATAGCTTTGTTTAGAGAGAGGTCCCTACTCTCTTCCCAATACAATTCTCCAACAGAATATGCATAAACCCCTTTTTCCCTTCTACTAATCTATTTATACAATCCCCTCCTAACAGAATAATCTATTACTAAAAACGAATACTAACTAACATTCAAACAACCAACAACACATATACTATCTAAACAACCAAACAAACAAACAATAGCTACGTACCTTTGCCCTTGGAAACTTCACCTTGAATCAGCTACTTCCCTCTGCTTCTTCAGCCCTGTTCGAGCTCCTCCTGCTCCTGACATAGACTCTGTAGTACTTATCAGATTCATTCATCTCGTTTTTATCATATGAATAACATCATCATCACAACTCTCATCCTTTTAAAAGATGGAACGAAAGTATTTTAAATATAGATTTTGAGGTATTAATTCTCCTTATAAGTTAACCCTTACATCTCTAATAGATTTTCCACTAAAATCTCAATGCATATATTCGATTTTTGTTCTATTAACTCTAAAACACTTAACTTCTAATGTATTCATCCATAAATCTAGTTGTTTATTCACTTTTTTTTCTTGACTCATCTATTAGCATTATATCGTCTGCAAATATAATGCACCATGAGATTTCTTTTTGTATATGTCTAGTCAACTCATCTATAATTAAGGTGAAGAGATATGAATTTAAAGCGGACTCTTGGTGTAATTCTTTCATTAAGTGACGTTAGGAGATGACCCTCGACATTTCTATCATTAGAAATCATTGTATAGAGGATATGGCATTATGATTTACGTTGACTTACCACTTAACACAACTCTCTTCCTTTATTCAGGTTTGAAACTCGCTAAATATGTGAAGCTCAATCTTGAGGTAGAGTCTGCAATTTCAAAAAAATATGAAAAATCTAATCGAAACTTACCACCTGTTTTTTTAGCAATTTATGGCTTTTTTCTAAAAGACCAAAATACCCTCTTTTAAAAAAAATTAAAACCCTAAAATACACAACATATATACACAATAATTTCAATTTAAAAAAAGTTTTGTAAACAAATTATTGATAAACACAAAACATAATAACGAACAAAATCATCAAAAATATATGTATATACCTCCGTATGTACATATGTGTATATATATTTTGTGTATGTATATGTATGTAAATAAGGTGAAAACTTGAACTTGAATTTCGCCTTAGTCCCAAATTTCTTCGGGGTCGGCCGCATGAATTCTTCATTCATTCTGCTCGTTGCGCCTTGAAGCTTGTGAATTCATTGCATGTGAGATTTGGCATTTGTTTTCTTTTGATGGCTGCCAACCTATCACAAAAAACCTCATCTTTTATTCGGGCTTGGGACCGGCTAGATAAGAGCAAGCTCCTGCCTAGGCAGAGTTATTTATAAATTTTGAAAAATCGTAATTAATTATTTATAAATTTTGTAAATAGTTTTTATCAAATAATAGTAAAAACAATAATTTAAAAAGTTATTACAATTCATAATAACATCATTTACTTTACTTTTTGGTAATTTAAATCAAATCGCAATCATTCTCATTATCAAACCATCACTTCGTAACAATTCGCAATCGCTATCAACAACAATTTATCAACAAGTTATTGTCAATTCCTACAATTGCCAACAAATGCATGTAACTGCTATCTTAAACGAAGCGATACAACCAGTCGTAAGATTGGTGTATCCCCCCTGTCATAGTGCGTGTAAACTAACTCTGAAAAGCCTAAAGTAAAACTCACCATAAGTACTAGCTTGTAAGTGAAGGGTGTCCAGAGTTGTCAATTGATCTCATACTAAGTTAATGCGGAGTAAAAAAATGACGTAACATGATCTATTTTTGTTTCGACTTGCTCGTTGTTAAATCGTAGACAAGTTTTGCCTTTTCAATTTATGAGATTGGTTGTTCATTTCTGAGATTCAATTTCACATTTTTCTTCGTCTATTTTTATGGTTTGCTTGCTTTCTAAATGTATTTCCTCGGCTTGTTTTTTTAATGCTTATCAGCAGAAGTGATACTCACCAATTCATTGGGATCTCTGTCACCACTTGATCCACAATATCTGTATCAAGCATATCTGTACATTAACTGAGGAAGACAGCCCTGGAAAACTTAGGAGATAAAGAGAGGATGGATTGTTTAGGGCAACTTCTATTGGAAAAAGCTTTTGATTGCCTCTATGAACCCCTTAAAGTGCATATTGGTTATATCTTTTGCTCTAAGAGAAAATTTCAGGACGTAGAGATAAAACTTAAAGAGCTGGAGGGTGCAGAAAATAGGGTCAAGAATGATGTAACCTCTGCTAAGAATAAAGCAGAACACATCCATCAGGATGTTGAAGAGTGGTTGGTTGATGTAGCCAGTTGCTATCAGTTTGCAAACCGTCTTATCATGCGGTATAAGGAGAAAGAAAATGCAAGGTGTTTCTTGGGATGTTGTCCTGATCTGAAATCCCGGTATAAACTTAGCAAGGAAGCAGTAGAGCAATTAAAAGTTATTGCTCAGCTCTATGAGAAAAGTAGCAATTTCACCTCGGTTTCATTTGATGCTCCTCCAAATGGATTTGGAGTTGTTAGCAAAGACTATATGGACTTTGAATCAAGGTCTGCTGGTTTGGAGCAGCTTATGGAAGCATTATCTGATGTTGAAGTTGACACAATTGGTGTACATGGCATGGGTGGAGTTGGAAAGACCACGTTAGTTAAAGAAGCTTCTGTAAGAGCCAAGAAACTAAACTTGTTTGACAAGGTTTTAATTGTTACTGTATCATGGAAGGCGGATATTGGAAAAATCCAAGGGGAAATTGCGGACAAGTTAGGACTAGAATTTCGTGAACAGAGTGATTCAGGAAGAGCAGACAGGCTATGTGACAGGTTGAAAGAGTTTAAGAGGCTCCTTGTTGTTTTAGATGACCTGTGGTCGGGGCTTGATTTGGAGAAAGTTGGAATTCCTCATGGAGATGCTCATAAGGGATGCAAGCTTCTGCTTACATCTAGGAGCATTGACGTTCTGTATGGCTATATGAATGCCCAAAAGATTGTCAAAGTTGGCACATTACAACGCAAGGAAGCCTGGAAACTTTTCAAGAAAGTAGCCGGTCAGAGAGTGGAAGGGCCAGATTTGAAAGACACAGCAGATAAGATAGCCACCAAATGTGGAGGTTTACCAATTGCCATTGTAACAATTGCAAAAGCTTTAAAGGAAAAAGGTTTGGAAGAATGGAAGAACGCATTCAGGGAGCTTCAAAGATCCGCATCTGAAAACAACACCGATATACCAAATGATGCATATCGTTCTATAGAGTTTAGTTACGAACAGTTGCAAGGCTATGACCTTAAGTCGGTTTTCTTGCTCTGTGGCTACATGGGTGGTTATCATATAATAGACCTGGTCAAGTATAGTGTGGGTTTGGGCTTATTTCCAAGAGTTTCTTCAATGGAAGAGATAAGGACCCGAGTGTGTGCATTGGTTTGCAAACTTGAAGCTTGTAGTTTGCTGCTTAGTCGGCCTAAACATGATCAATTCGCCTTGCATGATGTTGTTCGCGATGTTGCAATATCTATTGTATCAAAAGATACACAGATATTTGTAATGCGGGAAAACGTTGGACCAAAGCTATTTCCAGACGTAAACACACTGAAGAATTGCACGGCAATCACTTTATTCGATGTTGTCATCAGTAATCTTCCCAAAGAGTTGAAATGCCCTAAGTTGCAATTTTTTCATATTTTCAATAAGAATCCTTCTCTAGATATTCCAGAAGAATTTTTCAGACAAATGGTGGAGCTTAGAGTTGTAGATTTGACTAACATGATTATCAAGTCTTTGCCAACTTCTTTGCTTCATCTAGCAAATTTGCAAACCTTGTGTCTCGACCATTCCATCTTGGGGGATATCTCTGGCATCGGGGAGCTGAAGTCGCTTGAAGTGCTAAGTTTTTTATGGTCAGAAATCCAACAACTGCCGGAGGAGATTGGACAACTGACGAACTTGAAACTGCTGGACTTGGACCATTGTTCTAAACTAGGAGTGATTCCCCCGGATGTCTTATCTGGGCTGACTCAGTTAGAGGAATTGTATATGAATGACAGCTTCAAAAACTGGGAATACGAAGGAGTAGCTGAAAACAGGAGGCAAAATGCTACTCTTGCGGAGTTGAAGCATTTGCCGCTTCTCACAACATTTGAAGCACATATCCGAGATGAGCAGCTCATTCCAAAAGGCTTATTCACCGAAAATCTAGTCAGATACAACATCTTTATAGGAGATGAATGGGTTTGGAACGATGGATGTGGATATTCGAGGATGCTTAAGTTGAAGCATGACATAGACCATCCTGTTGATGATGGTGTACTTGTATTGCTAAAGAAAGCTGAAGAGTTGTACTTGGATGAGTACAAGGGTATAGGGAGTATCTTCTGCAGATTACACAAAGAACATTTTCCGCAGCTGAAGTATCTCCACATCCAAAATAATTCTGAAATTGAATATATGGTTGACTCTTCAGCTGATACGATGCATTCTGGTTCTAAATCTTTTGGTGTTTTTCCGATGCTGGAGTCATTGTCCCTTTGCAATGTCATCGAGTTAAAGAAGATATTCAAAGGCAACTGCTTGACATCCTCTTTCAGAAAATTAAGAACAGTAAAAGTGGAGAAATGCAAGCGTTTAAGAAGCCTGTTTCCCTGGTGCATCTCCAAGGAGAATCTTACACAACTGGAAGAAATTGTGGTGATAGATTGCATGAGCATTTCTGAGATTTTTGGGGATGAAGAATGTGAGGAGGATGAAATTCGTGAAGAGATTGACGGTTTTAAGTATCTCCAGTTACGCTGTCTAACTTTGAAACATCTTCCTGCACTTGTTAGCTTCTGCTCCAAACAGAGTCTTCCTTCTACATCTCAAAGTAGCAGAACAGAATCTGTACCGCTTTTGGATGAGAAGGTGATTAATTCTTTTTCCGTTAATATACCATTTGTGTCCTCCTTTTCTTCTCTTTTTGTTTTTTGGATAATAAGTTCATGTCAGTTTCTAATTAAACAACTTGAAATTGGCATTTGCAGTTTCAGTTCCCTCGGCTGGAAACTCTGGAGTTAGTATCTCTTCGCATTGAAAAGATATGGAGAATGCCAGAATCCTCATCTTCGTTTAAAGAGCTGGCCAAGTTAATCATAGACGGATGTGAATACTTGGAATTTGTTCTGTCATCTTCCATGGTATGCCGGCTTGAGCATCTCAAACAACTTGAAATAAGCAATTGCAAGAAGATGCGTCAGATAGTATTTGCAGAGGAGCCGAATTGTCACAAAACAACTTTGTTTCCTCAATTAGTCATCCTCAAAATGGATAATCTGCAGAATCTCACAAGTTTCTACTCAGGAGATTGTGCTGAATTTCCATCGTTGGAGCATTTGCTGATCCGAAAATGTCCACAGTTTAAGGAGTTGATTGGTGTCCAACCAAGAGACACAGACCTTGTAAGGATCGCGCAGACCAATTATGTCAAAACAGATGACGGGTTTTGCCCCGTTGATGAAGCTCTTTTTGATGGAAAGGTAAACCAATTTTGCATATCTGGTTTCTGCTCTTTATATTCCCCTCAAGTTTCATTAAGTTATGAAAACATTTCTATTTGGATTTAGATTCAGGCCCCTAAGCTGAAGGAGTTGATATTGTCCTCATTGGAAATTGCAAAACTGTTCCCTGATGAGCCCTTGACCACTGGCTTCTCTGTTCAACGGCTGGCGAGGTTGATCCTAGAGAACTGCAATACAATGAGATATCTCTTTCCATCTTATGTGGTTCAAAGCCTTACCCGGCTTGCAAAGCTCGAGATACGTGACTGCAGTAACATGGAAAGCATCGTGGCTGCAGCATCAGGACTGGGCAAGACTGCAAAGAAAACAATTGAAATTAAATTTCCTAAACTGGATGATCTAAAGCTTGAAAATCTCTCAAGCCTCTCAAGGTTCTGTGATGGAGATCGCATTGATTTGCCTCGGCTGAAAAAGTTAAACTTAAAGAACTGCCCTGATATGAATTGCTTCATCACAGACTCCAAATCCAGCCGAGGACCAAATGCTACTGCCCCTCTATTTGATGAGAAGGTAACATCTCCCATCTTCCATGTCCGTTCTTGTGGATTTCTGGCTCATTCCCTTTTGTCGAGTATATTTCACCACTGGCATAACCGTTAAATTTCTACAGGTGGGCTTCCCGACGTTGGAGAATTTGACAATCAGTCACATGGACAACATAACAGAGATATGGCAGAACCGTCTTCATCCAGGTTCTTTCGACCGTCTGAGCTGTTTAAAAGTCGAGTACTGTGCAAAACTACTAAGCATTTTCCCATCAACCATGCTATCTGCTCGTAGAGAGCTCGAAAAGGTAAAGATCCTTAACTGTGCATCAGTTCGGGTTATATCCGAACGTGAAGCCGCAAATGTTGCTGAACTGACAGTGACCAACCTTGAACTAAGAGAATTGCCCGAACTCCAAGGATTCTACTCAGGGAATCATCATAACCGGTGGCCATTTATAAAAAAAATCATTTGCTCGTTAGACTGCGAGAAGATGATACCATTTGTTCTAAGGAGCCACGGAGAAATGGATCCAGAAAACCGACCAGTGATCCAGATTGTTTAATTGATCGAGGAAGATGGAACCCGGTTTGTTTCTTTAATCATCTTCTTCTTCTTCTTCTTCTTTTTTAAAGTTTGAATATTTATGATTGCCAGTGACCATCTTCTGGGTTCACGTTATTGGTCAAAGCTTTGTCAAGACAACAAATCAGAAACGGAGTATATGACTCTGACAAGCTGACAGTATGTGTTGGACAAATCCATCAGTTTAGAGATGTGTTGGATTCATGGTGATGATGATGATGATGATGGTGATGGTGATGGTGATGGTGATGGTGATGATGGTGATGATGTAAACAAGAAATTATTCCCTTACCAATAGTAATTTAAACTAATAAATTACATTCCCTTAAAAGTGTTTATGAAAATATACATGAATGGAAGTATCAATTTATAGAGTCGAGGAAAATGATTTACGGCTTGCCAGATTAGCTTATATTTTGTCATTAATTGTAAAAATGTTATTTCCCCAACCCATCCAACGGAAGGAAAAAAAAATGAAATTAAGAGAATTAAAATTGCAATAATCGGGAAATCTGTGTGGGGTTACACACACTATGAACTGTCCAGACCTTCATTACATTACCCTCCCGAAAAATTTCTGGTTTCCCTCCTTCCCCTTTCCCAACATTCCCTCCCCTCTCTCCGTTGGAATCTTCGCATTTATTCCCCCCATTGTCCTTTCGCTCGCCAACATCACTTGCAGCGTCTCTTTCATCCAAATCTGCACTATTCATTTCCTAGGGTTTTGATCTTCTCTTCGTTTCCTGAACTGTTGGTTCTTCTTCCTGCAATTTTGCGTTTTTGGGTATGCTCTATTTCGAGGGTTGTTTTTTTTTACTCTGGGGTCTGGTTTCTCAATATCGCTTGGGTTTTGCTTTGTTCGCATGTTTTGGTGCGGGAATTTGAAAATGCGCTGAAGTTTCTCGGGGTTTGATGTCGTTTTTTGTCACATAGAGAAAACGAATTTTTTGGGGATTTTGTTGGTCTCTGTTTGTTTTTTGTTTGGATGCCGAGAAAATGAAAAGTTTGTGCAAATGGATCGGTATGATCCTACTCGTTTCACTAAATCTTCAGACTATTGTTTGATTAATTTGTATAAAGGGTATACTCTTGCAAATGTAGTACTAGTACTAGGTGATAATATTTTGGTTTCCTGCATTTCTATGGTGATCTTCGTTCAACTGCATTTTATTTCATGATTCCAGCATCGGATGAAATATGGGTTGTGTATTTGATTACGGAATTACTGCACTCTTTTTCTGAGACTTGGTATAGGGATCTCATGTTGTCTCTTGAATTTGGTTTGCAGGTCTATTCCTCCTCCTGCTAGTCCAGATTTTAAGCTTCCCAGGATTGTTTTTGTTGAAGTATGACAAATATTGCTCATCTGCTTCCTGTATTTAAAGATTTGGAAATTGTTCTCACTGTAATGGTATGCATACTTCCTTTCACGGTTCTGAGTTTTTGGGATTACAGATAAGGATTAGGAAGCATTAGATTAACTAGACAACGGTCATGTATTTATTTCCTGTGTGTAGGGATGAGTTATTTGCCCTGTGTTGTTTTCTTCTTGTGGATTGAGTGAGCTTATCGAACGGGATTGGTTTAAGATTTTACTCGGGCAACAATGGAATGCAACAAAGAAGAGGCTATGAGGGCAAAGGAATTGGCAGAGGAGAAGATGAGAGCTGGGGATTTTATTGGTGCTCAAAAGTTTGTCAAGAAAGCTCAGCAACTTTTTCCGAATCTGGAGAATTTAACGCATTTGGTGACGATATGCGATGTCCACTGTTCTGCACAGAATAAGATCAGTGGACTGGACAACTGGTACGGCATTCTTCAGCTCAAGCATTTTGTTGATGTGGCTACAATCAAGAAGCAGTATAGAAAGCTCGCGTTGCTTCTTCATCCCGACAAGAACAAATTCTCCGGTGCAGAAGCTGCTTTCAAGTTGGTGGGGGAAGCGAACAGAGTGCTCGCTGATCAGACAAAACGTTCGCAGTATGACATCAAGTATAGGATCTTTTCAGAGGTTTCTGCTTTGAAATCAGGGAACAAGCAGCCAAATACCAACTCTGCCAAACAGTTTGCTCCTGCAAATGTAGCTGCAAACTCTGTGGGGAATCAAATCCCAATGAATCTTGCCTTCTGGACGTGTTGTGAGCACTGTGGGTACAGGTACAAGTATTTGAGAGAGTACGTGGACAATGTAATGCATTGTTCCAGTTGCCAAAGATCATATGTGGCTGTTGAGACGGGACCTTATGGTGTATCACCCAGATCAGCCCCTAGTCAGGTTTCTGCACAAAGTGAGGTTCCAAGTCAGGGGCCACGTAACATGCCTCTTCACAACAATAGTGCTGAGCCTACTGGAGTGCAACCTGGAAATGCTCCAACCAAGATGGATACAAATGAGATGAAGAAGGAAAAGCTCAACGAGAATGATGGGGGAGATCATAAAACTGATACTGAAGTAAGGAAACCAGAGGCAGAAAAGGTGGAAAAGCTCAATGAGAATAGCAGGGTAGATCAGAAAACTGATACTGAAATAAGAAAACCAGTGATAGAAAAGGATAGTGCAGATACTGATGCCAAAGTTAGTAAAGCTGCAGATAACAAGGGAGGTACGATGAGTTGTGCTGAAGTACCAAAAGCTAATGCAGTGAAGGGGCAATCTAAGCTTAAAGAGTCAGTGGGCAGTGCAGTAAAGCCTAAACCTGATTTAACAAACCCTAATGGCAATGAGGCATCAAAGGGAAAAAGTAAGGAGAGAAATAGGAGAAATGTTGCAGAGAAATCCAGTGAAAGTTTTGAGATTGATGGATGCGATAATATCAGATCTGAAAATGCTGTGAATGGAAAAAATAAGAAGAGCTCCCAAAGGAAAAAGCGGAAGGTGTCTTATGCAGAGGATGGAAAGGATGATGATGATGATTCTGTAAGCCCTCCAACAAAATCATCAAAATTGCTTAGACAAATCAAATCTGATACTGGTAAGAAAGAAGCAGCTTCGGCTGATGGGTTATCTGGAGGTGCTACTTCTGATGGTTCTCCTGCCATTGCAGAAACACGTAAAGAAAAGGCAGAGAAGAAGGCAGGTTCTGTATTTGAAGACATCTCGTCAACCAAAGACAAGCGAAGCGAAAGTTGTGAAAGTAATGGTAAGGGGGCATTTCCCTCAAGTAAGGTTGACGAAATTGACAAGGTCTCTGAAGCTAGTAAAGAAAATCCTAAGTCAGAGGAATACCCAGATCCTGAATTTAGTAATTTTGATGAGCAAAAGGGGGAATTTGCTGTCAATCAATTGTGGGCTCTCTATGATCCTCGAGATGGCATGCCACGGTTCTATGCTCAGATCAGTGAAGTGTCCACTTCCCCGCTTAAGCTTCAGATGGCCTGGCTTGAGCCTCTACCAGTTAAACGAAATTCAAAAAACGAGATTGATATCCCGATTGCTTGTGGAGTGTTTAAAAGTGGGGAAATGGAAGAAACGGGAGATCTCTTGATGTTTTCTCATCAGATGCATTGTAACAGACAAGGCTCTCGCTCTTTCATCTACCCGAAAAAGGGAGAAACTTGGGCTCTTTTCAGAGATTGGGACATCAGTTGGATCACTGACCCGGATAAGCACAAACAACCTTATAAATATGACTTTGTCGAAGTGTTGACTGACTATAAAGAGAAGGCTGACGCTAAGGGTGTCTGTGGCATTGGAGTGTACTATCTTGAAAAGATGGAAGGGTTTGTTTCCCTTTTTGTTCGGGCTACACAGGGTAAGGTTCTAGCATGTAACTTTTTGCCATCGGAGATGCATAGATTTTCTCACAAAGTCCCGTCATTCAGAATGACTGGAACAGAAGGAGAAGGTGTTCCTGCCGACTCATTTGAGCTAGATCCTATTGCTCTACCGAAAGATATATTTCAGCTCGATCCTCGTGAAATTAATGCAGAGATGGATGGACAGAACCTGGATGGCAAAGCCGGTGCCAATTGTCCTACAGCTCCTGAGATTGAAGCAAGTCCAGAGAGTGTTTGTTCTCCAATGAAACGTCAGAAAATTGAAAGAGACGATGCTTCAGTTGCCGAAGTATCAAACAGAATATCCAATGATCGGGATAAGATTCCCACTAATGTTTCGTCACCTGCAGAGATTGAAGGCTTATTCAACAGTGGTCATGATTCATCATCTTCATGTCAAGTTGATGAAATGAATACAATAAAGAAGTCTGGGAAGAGTGATCGGACTGTAGATGGTTCGAGGCAACAATCGACTCATGTTCTAAGTGAAAAGAACAATCTAACAAATTCGAATCAACAAAAGGCAGTGAAGAAAACTGCAAAAGACGGTGGGTTATCTGCTCAGTCTGATCGAGTTGGCCTCTCTGGTGGTAAGATGAATACCCAGGAAAAAGCTGAGAAGGATCTCATGACTGATTCCTTAAGAATCAGAAGATCTCCCCGAACTATAAACAAAAGAACAGATGGCAGTCTACAAGCGAACCCGAGGAAACATGAGAGCAACGATAAACCATTCTCCTGGTCTGAGGAATATGTTTCCCCGACAAAGTCAAAACGTTCCAATTCTGGTTGCAGGAAGGGGCAGGAAAATGCGTTCAACTTCAAGGAGGAAAGATCAGAGGACAAATTCCAGGTCGATCAGATATGGGCTCTTTGCAGTGCTGACAAAGGAATGCCCACAGTGTATGGTCTGATCAGGAAAATCGAGACTGTGCCTATATTCAGGCTGTTTATTACTTCTCTAGAGCCATATCAACAACCAAAGAATCTGACCCGTCCTGTCTGCTGTGGGCTTTTCAAGAAGAAAACTGGAAAACCAAAAGCCTTTCCATCCAGCAGCTTCTCCCATCAGGTAAGCGCCAAAAGGACTGGCAGGACCAGTTTCGAGGTTTACCCGAGGAAAGGCGAGATCTGGGCTATGTACAAGAACAATGACAGCGCATCTTGTACTGACACAAGTGAATACGACATTGTTGAAGTTCTTGAGGACAATGGGCAGATCATAAAGGCCATGCTGTTGACGAGAAACCGCTCTAGAACTCGTTACATAGCTCAGAGGAATCAAGGCACGAAGACAGTTGTGATGGACATTCCGAAGGGAGATGTGGCTAGATTCTCACATCAGATTCCGGCGTTCAGACACCATACCAGAAGAGATCAGTTAGGTTGCGAGTTGTGGGAGCTCGACCCTGCTGCAATTCCAGGCCTGACCATAGTTATAGACTGAGTAGCAGTAGTTGTTTCTTGTTGCCTATACATATGTACATATGCATAGCGCCATGGGTAAGAAATAGAGGAGCTCTTTAGGTGAAGATGGCAGAATCTAGAATCAGCTTGAAACCTTGAGCTTGACACACACAGTGTGTGGCCTGACCTTGTTGATGGGTTCAGGGCTTTGTTCCTAGATCCTGTCTTCCTGTCTGTCAGGCGGGAAGTTGCCTTTTATGCCTTTATGGATATATTGAATCTGAACTTGGTCTTTTGCTAACAGAACCTGACATCTCCATATTAGCTTTTGTGAATTCATAACGCTTTTCCATAACTTTGTTGCGTTTCTGACACTTGTTCTATTCCTGGTCTGGCTTCAAGTCAGGTCTGGTTCTTCAGTTTTTCTGTAGGTTCTTGACATATATGGTTCTGGTTCTGAATTTGGTTATGGCTCTGCTTCTAGTTGTAACAACCAAACACAAGAATAAAGACCCACATATGATATCACCAAATCTAAGTTGCATTGAGATCAAGAACTGAGGAAGAACAAAACCAGTCAAGAAACTTATCCAGATTTTGGCTTTATCTTTCGAAAAGACTGTCTAGAAGATAAAGGAAACACGATTTCTGAAATGTTCCAGAAGCTTCCTCTGTCATAGATGTTTCGCTTGACAATGGCTTCTGCTCCTTCAAGTGCAGACCTTCTTCTGCACAATGCTTTGCATTTGCCCTCTGGGAGTTTCCGTTCACTGGTCATTCCTTCAACGCTTGCTTTCAGAGCCGCAGCACTTGCCTTAGCTTCGCTTACCTTCTTCTTCCAGCTTATGTACTCGTTCCACTTGAATGTCTTAAACCGAAAATAAACAAACAATCATAGAAATTATCACTACATCATTTTGCCACTCACTCACTGCAACAATATGATTCAGAAATCACAGAGCTTTATAGATTTACCTCGTTAGTGGTAGTGTTGGTTAGGCAGAGATTGAGATGGTAACCGAAGAAACCAGCAAGCAGGAGAGATACAATGGCAAGAAACGTCGTGAGAAGTATCTGAGTGTTGTATGAACCCATAAGCCACTGTTCACAAATCATTACAGGGTTTATGACTGAAAACGCGACAGAGAACACGACAAGCAAGATGGAAGTATTGCAAGAATACTCGCCTTTAAAACAAGTGGAGCTAAGCTACTGAAAGAATTGTCTATCCCATAATAGACTGCAGAGGGAGCAGACAGGGTTTTAGTTGTTAGATCTGTAACGGAGAGCCTCAAGAAAGATACAATGCATCGAACTGAACTCGGGAGATATCTCATCCGATCCGAGAATAAACATATATTTTTATTATTACCGGTAAAGATATGTACAACACGCAGTTCTTTTAGTCGTCCTGCAAGAACCAACCCGATGGCCACTGCTCCATACAGGCAAAGAAGGAAATGCCTACAAATCACTAAAGAACCATTTTAACATAAACAAAGAAATGATGAGGACACACAAGACAAAGAACTTTCCTAAGTAGATCCAAGGAGAAGAATCTGTGTTCTGCAGCGAAGAAAACACCTATGTGCGAGCAGTTCAGGAAAGCCATATTAAGCACGTTCTCAGTCATTGTTTCTAATAACATAGCGTCAAAATTTCAGAATCAGAAAAGTCTACATGGTACTTGTACATTATGTCTTCCAATGAAAACTCACCATAAAAGAAAAGCCAAGAAGTATCTGGTATTTCTTTCTCCTATGCAGTTATTCTGCAATCCAAGAGAAAGCTTCATGTCAAGCAACATCCTGACACTTACTCGTAAATGGAAAAATTAAAACTTAAAATTAAAACTCAGCAATGGGAATTTTGTACAGACCATCCACCCACAATGATGATCAAACCGAGCCACACAACGATTGCAGATGCTGCAATGCTTGGATCTAGCGGGTCTGAATCAGGAAAGAGTAGAAGAATCATAAATTGAGCATGCAGAAGAAGTGGGCCGATTCCACGATTTCCCAACAGGGTTTTTTATGTACTCACTTCGGGATTTTACATGTTGAACATTCTTTCTCAGAGTATATGATATCATCATAAGGGTAAGCACAAATGTACTGCGAAACATTCTCAGCCTTCACAGTTCCTGGATCAGAAAAGCTCGTCAATAGGAAAAGTATGACACCGATAATAACAGCCAGAAAACTTGTGTACCTACAAAAATAAAATACAGATAATTAAGGGGGGGAAAGAAGGTAAGTATGTATATTTAAAAAGAATTGAAATGCTGGGTATATTAGAAAAAAGAATAACAAACTAGGAGCATGCCTCACTTGTGAACTTCTCCAATATAGTATCCAGGGATATAGGCAAAGGAAGATTTTGCAATTGCAAAGTACGTCGCTCCAATAATCCCTAGATACATGATCTACAGAGAAATATATGACATAATGGTAATCTGTAATTGAATATAGAAAGATCCAACTTGAAATACTAAAACAATGCTGTAGAAAATTGTGATGAGGAAACACAACAGGCCAAGAAAGCTAAATGAATAGTTTCTTGTTGTATTGCATGAAAAAAAAACCTTTTCAAACACAACAACTATAACCCTCTTGCACTCAATGCAAAATTGAGATTAACAGATAGACTCTACGAAACAGAAATTGCCAAGAACTCAGACTATCTTCTTGTAACTTCAGTTTGCGGGAAATATCCGAAATAACAAATCAAACTCTAATTTTCACCAACTGGCCAGCTGCAAAGAATCCTTATCCTTAGTATAAAGCAACTAAAAACCTGTCTAATCACATACACGTAAAGCATTCACATTCTCTAATCAAGAATCAAACTCACTTCTATGAACCAGTAGAATGAGTAAGTCAAATTATCTAAACCACTTTCATGAAATTGAATGCTCTAATCCGAATATTCTAGCTACCACGCTCTCGAATCCCGAAGCAGGAATATGAAGAAATCACCTTCGCTTATCCCGGAAAGGAGGGAGGAGAACGGGAGAAATCGCGGTATCAAAGCTAAACTTGGCACATTATTCACAAATCATGAGTCCTCCAAACACTAACTAAAGAGTCTTCTAATCAGAAACCTTCTCCACAAATCAACCACCAGATGATCGCATTATAGTTCACTACTTCTAAGATCCTGTAACCACCCATTCCAACATAAATTGCAATGCAAAGAACCTCAACAAACGATCCAACTGTTCACAACAAAAACTACTAACTTGCAATATAGGGTTGGGCCGATCACAACAGTAATACTCCACAGACAAAATCGCGTCCGAGCCCTTCGAACCAAACACCACGCCGACGAACCGGCTGCAAGAACAAAACAATCACAGGGCACAATCAGATAAAAAAGATAACCCTAATCAACCAAAATCAGACGCATATATATATATATATATATGTGGCGAGTAGTACAGGAGGTAATCGTAGGCGCCGAAAGTGAGGAAGTAGTGGATCCATTCAATTGGTGTGTTTTTGAAGACGGGCCATCGGCCACAGAGGAAGGAGACGACGACGGTAAACGTCACCAACCCGTGACACAGCAGAACCCACTGAACCGCCATTTTTGTAAACCCCGATTGCTTTTTTTCCTCCTCCCAATTCTTGTTTTTTCCAACACCCAAGTGAGAAAGCGAGAAATGTGATCGTGGGATGAAGGATTTATGAGCTTTCAAAGAAGAAGTTTCTTTCTTTACTTGAACCCTTCCACCTTTCTGTTTGGTTTCTGGGAAAATTTCCATGAAAGTGGTGGCATTTGACCCGATCAAAAATTTCACGAGTGCCTCTGAAATATTAGGGATTTCTCTTTTATAGCAAACAAAAGATCAACAAAACTAAATTCTAATAAAAAATAATTACCATCTCTACGACGGCGCCTCCATCATTTGCACTATTTGATCTCGAATAAATTGCAATTAGTAGTTAAACATCAACAAAAATCCATGAGCTAGCATAAGAGATACGGATTACACACAGAACAGAACCTCAAGGAACAAGACAGCTTCATCATCAGACAGATCTTCACAGAAAGACGGTCTTCCTTAGCTACGGTTCTACGCATGTATTATATACTGACATCATGTATATACATATATTATATGTGTGTGTGTATATCTGCAATGGAAGCAAAACGATGTCGTGCAGCTCGCATATTTGTTAGATTTTATGGGCTTTTGTTGGGCCGTAATTCATTGATTGGGCCAATTTCAATAGATGGTTCTATTGTAACAATGTGAGGCCCAAAAATGAATAGCCCATGAAGCAATCATATTTTCCCTTTTTATATGGATGTAAGATTTTTAATTGTATAAATTCATTCACACATTGCATTATGTTGTGAAATAATTGCAGCGAATAATAACATTTGATTAAACTAATTTAAGAACAATTCGAAAGGCAGGCCACAAATTGTAACTTATTCACTTAAGAAATTTTAATGAACGAAAATAATTTATATAATATATAGTGTGTATCGAAATAATCTTACAGATGTTATAGAATTGAGTTTAAAAGAGTTAAAAAGTTGATTTTATCGAATTGTTGAAACTATCAAACTTTTAAATTTATATAATTAAGAAATCGGGTTTAATTAGTTATTGAATAGTTTTTTTTAAAAATCGGGTTTAATTAGTTATTGAATCAAGAAGATGAAAAAGGGAAAAAAATAAAGATAGAAAACGACAGAGAAGATAAAAGAGGAAAGAGACAGATGAGGTTGTGCAATTAAAACCCCCCAATAGTTCAATCACGAAAATATATAAAAATCCAAAGAACATTAAAATAAATATATTAATATTAGAAAGAAAAAAAGTACAAAAGCTGTCTCCTTAGATGTAGACCCAAAAGTTAAATACTTCCACAATTCCTTTCATATTTATATTTTCCAATTATTATTATTATTTTACGTATCTTGCTTTGGGAAATTTTAAACATCACAATCTATGCAATGATAAATACAAATTTTTCACAACGTCACAACAGTTTCAATTTTATTAAGAAAATTTTAATTTTTTAAAGTTTTCAATACCTACATAGAAATTGCCCATCCATCTAATTATTTTATATCTAAATTTATTCCAGTAATATTTGTCTTTATTGTATTTTATTTTTTTTCTGTATTTTAATTGTTATTGTTGTATTATAATTATATCACAATAAAAAAAAAGGTTTATTTATTATCGCCGACCTTTGAGAGAAGTCACTAGAGGATAGATAGTGACACAAAAAGATAAGACAAGAGTTATTTGTCGTTATCTTTTGAATGAATAGACTATTTTGCCCTTCTGTGAATAATCATTTTATATTCACTCTTTTACTCTGTGAACCATTGTAATGTTGGACGTTAAATATTAAACAAATAGATAATTAAACTTAATATACAATATTGAGGTTTTTCCTGTTTTGCGCAATAATTATGAAATTCCTTACAATAAGCAAGTGTAGATAATTATGAAAAAGGAAGGACAAGGATAATGAAGAGGGAAAAGGACAGAAACGTAATTTGACATTAGAAAACGGCCAGGAACGGATCCCCCGTTATGCTCACGTGGTTGTGGAGTGATTGCGAAGCGACCGAAGCTCTTCCACTTTTGTTCCGTTCTGTTTGTCTTTGTCCTTTTCCCCAATTTTCTTCATTCGACGTCACGAAAATAACCAACACCAAAAAGGACCGAAAACAAAATTAATAAAAAGACGTAACGACGTATTGATACAAAATATATATATATATATATATATATATATATCATTAAACTTTTGAATTTGCTTATTTCTATGATAGGGGATCGTATTTTGTGTACATTAATTATTTTACGTCACTAAAATAACCGAATGGCATAATGCCAAAATCAGAAATTAGTGAAAGACGTAATGATCGTGGAAAAAATAAATATGAATACGTAATGGCCGTTGTAAAAAAAATATTAAACTATTAAGAATACCGAAGAAAGATCGTTTCTTTTTCTTTTTCTTTTATTTTTATTTTTACATATTTTTAAAATATATAAAATAACTATTATAATATATATAGCATACGTAAAAAAATGGAAATACTAGGATTGGATACATAAGTTTTACACACAAAAGACAACGATCTTCACTTTTGATTGAAAGCGAAGCGACTTGGACCAAACCCCATCCCAAATTGTTGTCACCTAAACTTTATTAATGACTATTTTTGGATGGTGCATGGATTAATTTTGACTAATCTAAGATCCTTATATATATTAATATCTCGAAGTCTTCCAATAATTTGAATGGTTACAAAATATTACTTTTTATCACATTAGCTTTTGACATATGATATGTGAATCTTTGTCATTTTAATTTATTTATTTTATATTTTTATAATTTGGAAATTTACCGAATTATTGTACCAACTATATCTTTCAAATAATTGAAAAAAATAAAGGCGAATACTATTTCAAATGGAAACTCGAATTTGGATTGGAAAAGAATTTTGTCTTATCATTTACCAGTTGAGTCGTCTAATCTTAGGTATTTTTTATTTTTATTTATACAACATTGCATAAATAAATTGTGAAAAAAGTAAAAAAAAATTATATTATGCTAATTTTGGAGAAAATCAATGTATTAATCGCTAAATTTTTCATATACAAACTAGTGAAAATGAAAAACGTTGGAGAAAGTTTTACAGATCCGATGTACATTACATTAACTATAATACTATCAAGAGATTTACAATGCATTCATTTGGTTCAATTTACCCATGATCTTGTTCAAAATAAATTTTTTTTGATATTTTATATTTTGTCTAAAATCGAAGGAAGTATTGGTATGTCATGCCTCATTTATCTAATATCATCTTAGTTTTTAGAGTCTGTAGTTTATCTTCATAAAATCTAGTTTTCTATAATTGGTTGTAACAATTTACTTACAGGTCAGATTTTGTTATGATTTATAATAGTTTTTAATACTTATGTTTTCGTTAAATGTGTTTTTTCATATAATATTAGTAATTTAAATTATCAACTCTTCTTTACCAAAAAAGAACTATAAACGACTCTTGAAAAATCTAACAAAAAGTTTTTAATGATTTAACAAGAGCTTTACAAAAACGAAATAAGATAATATTTTTTTAAAACTAGGTGAAGACGACAAAGTTAGATATCTCTAAAAAATAGCATATCTGACCTGTGACCACCCCTACTTGAAACTATAGCCAACTCGTGAAAAAAATTAAAAAATTTTATAATGATTTGATAGTGTATGACCTCTAATTTTTTGTCGTTAGCTGTTTTATTTTGTTTTTTTTGTCTGTACACCTTTCGTCAGACAAAATTAAACTTGTTAAAAAGTTGAAAAGATTTTTGTTGATTTGGCAATGCGTCATCTTTGTTCGGTGTGACATTTTTAATCGATCTATTTTGATTATTTATGACGGCAAATTTTGTTGTTTGGATTCGTCTTATCGAAATTATATGCATTTTCTGTTGTATAAAGAGAAATAAAATGTACTTATTTGGTTCTCATTTACCTCTCTGATTTATTATAAAATCTAAGTTTTTTTTATAATGTTAATCGATCGCCAAAAGACCTGAATGATGATTTAGTTTGAAAGAGAATTTAGTTTTGCAAATATTTATCTTATGGTAAATCTACATTATCTTTTTTCGCATAACATTTATTTAAAAAAAATACAAAAATTCATTAGACATTTGGTCCAACTATATATTCCAGAGAATCAGAAAAATTTGAGAGAATGTTATTTCCCATGCTTAGGTTTAAATCTGGGGTAAGAGCATGTAAAGCATGCTCTTACAAATTTAAATTTGTTAAAAAGTTGAATAGGCTTTTAGTGATTTGGCAATACATTATCTTTATTTTATGTGATGTTTTTAGTCAATCTATTTTGGTTATTAATTTATAAAAACAATTTTTGTTGCTTATGATTTACTTCTATGATTTTTGCTATATATAGTTTGTGCTATGTACTTTGCTTTGATTTACCTCTATGGTTTTTTTTTAATTTTATTTTTTCTTGTGTCGTTATCTAATTGCCAAAACATGAGAAAGGAAAGAGTTTTGATCATCAGATGACACATTAGCTTTTTCTAGCAAGCTTTTGGTCGATCAATTTTATTTTTTTATCTATCATATCAATATTTTTTGTTATTTAACTTAAAAAAATTAGTGATCTTTGTAATATAAAGAGAACTACAATGTATTCGTTTGATATAATTGGCCTAGGATTCTTTCAAATTCTAATTCTCCTCTTGTGATATTATCTAATTATCTAGAGGAAGATTTGATCATTGATTATATATATATCCACTCTTCTTTTTCTATACTTTTGTTGTCTATTTTGGTAATCTTTTATGCAGTAATCTTCGAATAATAATCAATGTGGATTATTTCTCTCGAATTAGAGTTTGTGTTTGTGTTTCTATTTTTAAAAAGGATAAACCCAAAAAAACCCTTCAATTATCTTATTTACACACAAAAAAAACCTTTTACTTAAAATTCATTATAAAAAATTATCGACTATTAATTTTGAATAAAAAAGACCATCAACTATACAAATTGTTTAAAACTAATTTTTTACTTTAAATTTATTATAAAAAATCATCAACTATTAATTTTAATAAAAAAATCATCATATATCTAAATTACTTAAAAATATATAAAATTTGAATAGAAAACATATATAAATTATACAATTTTAAAAATCACAATAAAAATATAATATTTATTTAAATTTATCATATTTAAAAAATTTATATAAATACTATAAACATCATTCTTTATATAATAAATTTGTATACACATGTTATATTTAAATTTGAGGTTGTAAATATTATATTTAAAATTTTATTATATATTAATATTAATAAATCAACTAACTATACTTACATATTTCCCTCCTTTTTTGTTAGGGTTTTCTTTCCCGTTTTCAGATTACAACGTTTCTCTTTTTCTAAAAATGCTTCGTAAGTAGAACGCGTGATATGTTTTTTTACATTCAGTAAAAAACTTACATACTTTATTATTTTGTGATATAAAATAACTTAAATTGCTTACGAAATATAAATTAACTTATTATCCTCGTTTTGGAAAACAAAATCCAAATCAAAATGATTTATTTCGTAAGGCCCACCGAACAGTCGTCACGCCCTACTCCCTCCCCGACACGTGCGAATTAGCAGGCGCACGTTATGTTATCCTTTCAAGCGTCCACTAACGTGCGCCTCGTCGTTATCCGCCACCTCTCCCCGGTGTGTGTGTATTAGTCACTTGCGCCGGTGTTAAGGTGTTAAACCACTCGATCCGCAGTATAAAAAGGAGGTATCTTTCCATTTCCGGAAACAAATTTAACTCATCGAGGCCCGTTTAGAAATTTGAAATCGCTCTTCTGGTCCCTGTTTCTTGCGTTCTTGCCGAGTCAGTCGACGGAATTTGGGAAAATTCCGATCCGGGTTTTGCGTTTCCGTGCTGTTTGATTGGATAAAAAAAGGTGATTCCAATGGCTGCGAGCGATGTACAAGCTAACATTCTCGAGAGCAAGGTGAGGCCTTTTTTTAATGGCTTGGTTCTTTTTCTTTTTGTATCCTGGCTGATTTGACCTCTGCTGTTGTGATTGTCAGTCAATTTCGTTACTTAATATGGAATTCTACAATGGGTCTGTTTCAGTATTTGCTTTCGTTTGGGTTCTTAATGATGTTCTTATGGCTACTTTTGGTTCGAACTTCTGTAGAATTTCGTTATGGGGTTTAATCGGATGTGTGTATATATATATATATCTGTATTTTTCTTTTATCAAAGCCCAGGGCTCTTATGTATTGGGACGTGTCGTTCCTTCATGGGTCTTTTTTATAATTTCGGTTTCAATTGGCTTTTATGTTTAGTTTCCGTTGATCATCCCTTTGATTCTCTCCGAGAAACTGCTATGGCTTCTTTTGATTCATTGAACTAAGGCTTTGAATCGGGGAAATACTAATATTGATGCCTTTGTTTGTGCATAGCTCTCGAGTCTATTGGATTTTTAGACGCAAATTAACTGACTTTGTGTCGGAATAATGAACCAGTTAAGTCTTTTAGGATCAGATTTTGTCTGTGTCTCAAAGCTACGTGTTGTGTATTTAGTTTGGCTGCCAACCTGCTGTTTTTTTGCGGGAAAGTGAACTTCTGGTTAGCTTTATACAACTCCTTTTTTTGGCGGCTTCCATTGAATTCGAAGCTCTTACTATGTTTTCCTGTTGGTGAGCTCTTTCCTGTTTTGGGTTTTCTGAGATTTCAATTTAATTCACAAAAGAACCTCAAAAAGCCTCTTCCATGGAACAATACAATACACCCTCTTAATGATCTTTTCCTTGCATGATTCATCAAACCCTTTTTTTATTCCATTGTAAAAGCCTCGACCTTTACTGCGGATGGGCGTTTTAGTGAACAGTTTTCATCGGATTCAGATCTGAGCCTTTGGTGTGTGTTCTATTTTGCAGAGCGTGGTTCCACTCAACACATGGGTTCTGATATCGAACTTTAAGGTGGCTTACAAGATCATACGCCGCCCCGATGGAACCTTCAACCGTTACTTGGCAGAGTTTCTCGACCGTAGGGCCTCGGCAAACGCGAATCCAGTTGACGGGGTCTTCTCGTTTGATGTCGTCGTTGATCGAGAGACTTGTGTTATCACTCGGGTTTACAGGCCGTTCAAAGGAGGGGAGCGGGTGCCGCTGAGTATAGTTGATCTCATGAAACCTGTTGAAGACCAGGTTATGCCCGTTATCGTCTTCTTCCATGGCGGAAGCTTTGCTCATTCCTCGGTGAATAGCACTATATACGATGTCTTCTGCCGTAGGATTGTTAATGTGTGCCGTTGCATCGTTATCTCTGTGGATTATCGCCGTACACCTGAGAATCCATACCCATGCGCTTATGAAGACGGGTTTGCTGCTCTGAAATGGGTCAATACAAGATCTTGGCTTAAGAGCAAGAAAGACTCAAAGGTCCATACTTTCTTGGCCGGTGATAGTTCTGGAGGTAACATGGTGCATAACGTGGCATTAATGGCTGCAGATGCGGGGATCGAAGTGATGGGAAACATTCTGCTGAA